CCATGGAGGAATCTAACTAGGCATGTTACCAAGTGAAAGAAGCCAATCTGAAAAGACTACACACTGTGATTCCAACTATATGGCACTCTGGAAAAGGCAAAACTGTGGAGACAATAAAAAGATTAGTGGTTGCCAGAGGCAGGAGGGAGGGAGAGATGACTAGGTAGAGGGGATTTTTAGGGCAATGAAATTATTCTGTATGATACTATAATGGTGGATAAATGTCATAATGCTTTTGTTAAAATTCATAGTACAGCACAAATAATGAACCCTAATGTGAACTATGGACATCAATAGTGGCTCATGAATTGTAACAAATGTACCATAACAATGCAAGGTGTGATAATAGGGAAAACTGAAAAGCGGAGAGGTGACTGAGAGGATATGTGGGAACTCTGTGCTTTCTGTTTTGTTCAATTTTTCTGTAAACATGAAACTATTTTACGTTATGTTTGTGTAACTGGCTGTGTGTTTGCATAAAAAAGGGAGGAGTTATATCTCTGGCAGGTAATCTGTGTGTTCCATGGTGTTATATGACGAAAAGCAATTTGTAGGTTGATGTCTATTTCAGTGAAAACAAACAAAAGCAAAGAACTACATATCCTGTATATATAGAGAAAGGTATGGAAGGATTTAAATGTGGGTATATATTTCCTTACTTTGGTACCTGAAGGGTACCTGTGGGTCAGTTCGGTGAGTGGCATTAGGGGTGAGGTAATGGATGGAAAGTTAGCTTTCTTTTCGTGCTTTATTTTTTCACTGGTGCAAAAAGTGAGTATTCTTTATAATTTGAAAAATGGCAAAGAAAGGAAAATATAATGGTGTCTGTGTCTAACAAGGCTTTAAATTCTGGTCATTCAATAATGGCAGTGTGGGTGAAATTTGGGGATGAGGTTATAATTCTCATCACCTGCAAATGAAAAGGTTAACTGGAGCAAAAACTCCAAAAGTGATTAACAAATAACAAATGTTAGTAGGATCAGATTTTATTACTTTTGGCTGAAGGCCATAACAAAATATTACTGAAACTGCTATTCAGAAACACTGAAAAGGAGACCTGGTGAAGTTTCTCTCGCTATAAAGCAAACCAACAGGAAGTAAGGAAACCTTGAAAAACAATTTTAAATTGTAGAGTAATTGTTTAATGTTCAATGGATAAGATTTGCCTTTCCTGATAACTCTGTGGACAATTTTTTGCTAGCAGCAAAATATTAGTGGTTAAGAGCAAGAGCTTTGTTTGGAAGTACTTACCACCTGTGAGACTTCAGTATTTTCCTGAGAGAATTAGAGAATGCTAATAAAGGAACTATGTCCTAGATACCAGGGCCTCTGCTTGGGTAGCTGGGGTGTGTGGCTGGCCTGCAAAGCACCACAGGCCCCTCGCCCAGGCCGCCCCACGCCCCAAGGAACCCCCACCCTGATCCAGGACACCCTTCAGGGCAAACCAGCTGGCCCCTACCCATGCACCAGGCCTCTATCCTATCTAATAAAAGAATAATGTGCAAATTGACTGTCACACCAACACACAAGATGGTCAAAGATCCTGCCCCTATGTGGACACAAGATGGCCACCACAAGATGACCAGCAGGGGAGGGCAGTTGGGAGGCACCAGGTCTGCAAGGGAGGGCAGTTGAGAGGGACCAGGGGTGCAAGGGAGGGCAGTTGAAGGTGATCAACCCTGTAGGGGAGAGCAGTTAGGGGTGGCCAGGCCGGCAGAGGAGGGAAGTTGGGGGCAAACAGGCTGGCAGGGGAGCAGTTAGACATCAATCAGGCTGACATGGGAGTGGTTAGGGGGTGATCAGGCTGGCAGGCAGAAGCGGTTAGGGGCAATCAGGAAGGCAGGCAGGTGAGCAGTTGGGAGCCAGCAGTCCTGGATTGTGAGAGGGATGTCCGACTGTCCGTTTAGACCTGATTCCACTGGGTCCCAGATTGGAGAGGGTGTAGGCTGGGATGAGGGACACCCTCCACCATGTGCACAAATTTTGTGCACCAGGCCTCTAGTATGATAATACTGTGTTTCCCCAAAAATAAGTCATCCTCCGAAAACAAGACCTAATGCATGGAAAGATAAGACATCCCCTGAAAATAAGACCTAGTGCAACTTTGGGAGAAAAAATTAATATAAGACACTGTCTTATTTTCGGGGAAACAGGGTAAAAGTGTAATATGCTAATTAGACTGGATGTCCTTCTGGACGAAGCCAGAGTTGCGAGGGAAGCCTGGGACTCAGATGCCAGATGACACCATGGTCTACTCTCATGGTAATATAATAAAGCAATGGAAACAGCTCAATGTGAATATTAACAGTTTGAAAGCTAAAATAAGTCACCAATAGGTAAGCTAAAGCTAGACTATCCAGTTCAGGGGGAGAGAGGGGCAGTGTGACTTTTTTCTCTGGAGTATCAGTAGATAGAAGTGTTAAATAGACATATTAACTATATGTAATAGAGTACTTCCAGCCTTTTTAAGTACTAACTAGATAGGGGACAACCCACTGGATGCTATTGTATCGGGACTTTATTATATTACCATGGTGAAAATAGACCATGGTGTCATTTGGCCCTGCTGTACTCTGTCTATGCCTGTGCTTTTTCCTGGAACTTATGCTGAGCTAGCATCCCAGTTCTTAAAGAAGGGTAGCTATCTCTTAACAGTTTCCACCAATTCTAAGTTTGGAGTCTGATGGTTTTTCCTGTTGACATCTTTTACTCTTGAGTAAAAATGGTAACTTCAGAGATTTTTTTTTTAATAGAGCCTCACACAATTATTTGAATTTGGGTAAAGGCATGGGCACAGTAACATTTTGTTGTTTTCTTTTTTAAATTAAATCATTATTATTGAAAGTATTACATATATTCCCTTCCTTACCCCCCTTTGTGCCCTTATTTTGTTGTTTTCTTCACAACCCACTGAACTCAGTCTGCTGAGTGGTGGGAAGAAAGAGCATTTGCAATAGCTGTGGGCTTGGCTCTGTCTGTTCCTCTGTTCCCACTTACTGCTGGGGCACTAGAAAGGAAGGTTGAGTTTTGTGGAACATCTTCCAGCTAGTAAATGGATGGCAGCCAACTCCAATGGTCTGGTGAAGAGCAACGACCCCTCCTTCAGTCCCTGGGGATTTAACCCAGACAGATGTCAGGAGTCAAGGGAACCCTGCCAGATTCTTAGTTTTGCTAATATAGGAGTGGGTGACTGGAGAGGGAGAAGCACAGAGCTGAGAGAAAGACTGGGGAGGGGTGGGAATGGTGCAAGGCCTCAGTATTTCACTACTTCCTGGGTTCTTCTGGCCTGCATCTGAATATCAGAAACAAAACAAATAGCTCACTGGCCAGAAGCCTAACTGCAGCTGCTACAACATAGAATAGGGCAGTGTAGTCTTGAGTCAGCAACTTCTGTCTGTCCTGTTGCCCCTAGTTATGTGTATTATCTCACTTAATTTTCATAACAAACCAGTGATAGAGATATAAAATATCTACTTTTCAGCTAATGAAACTGAAACTTGCAAACTTTAAATAACTTGCTCAGGATCACACAGCCATGGGCCATGAGGGCCACATTCCAATTTGAGACATATCTGGCCATTCACAGAATTAAAGGGAAAGTTGAAAAATGGTTAGGGAGCCATGGGATCCCAGGCAGTGGGGAAGGCAGGCAAAGCCATATCACAGACTGGTCTGATTTGGCCACCACACTTGGCATTTGTACCCCTGTTTGTTCAAGATGCAGTGCTATTGGGCTCTTGATTCCACCATGGAGAATATACTCACAATTCCTCTGTTTTAGTGTCATTCTCTCAAATTCCAAGTTGGAACATCCAGTTGGCTGGCCTTACTTCGCATGCTGGTGTTCTGGCTGCCAGGAGGCAGATAGGAGTCTCTAGCCTGTTTGATTCTGTCGTGGAGGGCTGGGTCCTGCTTCCCACCAAGGCTGACACAGTCAGAGACTCCCCCAAATAGGAAGAGTATTGGGGTGCTGAGCAGCAATAATACAAAGGGTCGATGTCCACTGTACAGTCACTGGGTGCAGATCTCCACGCGGCCCTCTGCTGAGGACTGGTGGACCCGGGAAGCCGTGTCTTCCCTGCAAACCAGCTATTTTTCCTGAGATCAGGATCTGCCTTACAGAGTGCAACCGGACTTTCAGGCACTAAAACACAAAATGCTGTGTGTGGGCTTTCACATGAAGACCTCTAGCTGTTTCTGATTCACTAAAACTGACCACCACAGAGATGAGTAACCAGCAGAACCAGCCAGCTGTTAGCATCAATCTAAGGAGGGAGCATGTAGAAAAGAGATCCAAACGGAAAACTCTAATTTCTGTCTTTAACTGATCCTCACTGTGGTGTCCTGAGACTCTGGTTTGTATACATTCTGGGAAATATTCACTGTAGCTCTCCTGACTGTATGAAACATTTTCTATCATACAATGGGAAGGAAAAAGAATTAATGTTCATGGTCTTTCTTCAGTGATTTGCTTGCATGTCTTTGCCTTAAGATTAGGGACCATATATATCTTACTTTTTATCCTCACCAGAGGATATTTTTCATTGGTTTTTAGAGAGAGTGGAAGAGAGAGGAAAAGACAGAGAGAAATATTGATATCAGAGAAATGTATCAATTGGTTGCCTCTTGCACGCTGCTGGGGAGGAACCTTCAAACCGAGGCACATGCACTTGATTAGAATCGAACCCGGAAACCTTTTGTCCGCAGGCTGACGCTCTATCCATTGAGCAAAACTGGCTAAGGCCCATATCTGTTTTGTAACTTCATCATCTAGCATTGTGTCCAGCATACAGTAAGCACTTTTAAAAGTATTTGGATGAATGAATTTTTCTTAGCAATTTTTTTTTTTCCTGAAACTGAATTGATTCTTGTGAAATGGTGGAGAATGTATAGTCATGCAGGTTTAAAATATATTGCAAAATTTTTAGATTAAAAAATAATTCTAAGACTGCTATAAGAAAAGGACCACAGTGACATGCTTTTTACTTGTGTTTTTACAGGTGTTCCAGGATTTGGGGACTGAAGTACTGAATGGAGCTGCCAAAGGCTATAACATCTGCCTTTTTGCCTATGGACAGACAGGCTCTGGGAAGACATACACCATGCTGGGGACCCCAGTGAGTATCACTATTGGAATGGGATATCTTCCTAATGGCACAGCAAGCCTGAATTTTGAATTGCCCTAACCACTGAGAGAGAGAATGTAAGTTTCATAATCAGTCAACTTGAACAAGACTTAATGGGCCTCTTTTGTATTAGCCAGTAGGTTTTTCAGCACTTTAATTGAAGGGTAAACTTTGAATAATTAGCTCTGAATAATTAGTTATTAAACCCTGAAGAACCTTAGAATTTTACTACTCTCTTTGATGAAGCAGACTTTGTCAGTCCTTCTGAATTTCTCATATCCTTGGTAAGACCCAGCCTGAGACTTTAAAAAAAAAATTTTTTTTAATTGATTTTTTACAGAGAGGAAGAGAGAGGGATAGAGAGTTAGAAATATCAATGAGAGAGAATCATCGATCAGCTGCTTCTTGCACACCCTCCACTTGGGATGTGCCCACAACCAAGGTACATGCCCTTGAATTGAACCCAGGACCTTTCAGTCTGCCGGCCAACACTCTATCCATTGAGCCAAACTGGTCTCAGCAACCCAGCCTGAGTCTTAAGTGCTGGCTAGAACTGAGAAGAAATGAGGCTATGTGTGCTTAATCTGAGTGTTAGAAAGAAGCAAGAGAACCAACTACTGGGATGGGAGCTTTCTAAAGTATATAGGACTTATGAGAGCCTTCTTTTATCATGAAAAATTAGAAGGGAAAGTTCCCTAAGAATACCTCTTTATTTTAGACTTAGAAGCCCGCTGCTGAGGTGAACTGGTGGAGCAGTGACAGTACTATCCAGGAACATTCTCTGAAACACTCCTCCTCCTGAAAGATGATTCTTGCTGCCTTGAGCCCAGCTCATGCTCACTATGTCCATGTTTATTGTGATTTTATATATTTGAAGTTAAAAGAAGAAAATGCCCATTAAATATGGGGTATAAAGCCTTTAACTTGAGTACAGGTTAGCACTGGATCCAAGATTAAAAGAAAAGTCACTTCTCTCTAAATGTGTGTTTTGAACACACCTGTATCTGTTTTCTCTGTGTGTAGAAACAGGAGGTAAGTTCTGGGAGGAAACACCATGAGAAAGTGGGTTGATCCAAGAAGGATGAAACTTCATTTCACAAAAGCAGGCATTATTCCTTCTGGTGCTGGTGATCTGCCTATCCTCTGGTGCATTCCTCCTGAGAGCACTGCGAATAGAGTCTTTGCCACAGTTCCAGTGAACTCCTTGGAGTGAACAGGCCGGCACAAGGAGCCATGTGCCCGTCCTCCTGCTGACAGCTAAGGGCATTGGGTGAGGAGCGTCAACGAGAGTGAACAGTAATGCTTTCCTTCCTTCTGTTCTCCAGGCCTCTGTCGGGCTGACGCCGCGGATATGTGAGGTATAGATTCTCTTTTGACTGGATCCTCTCAAAGTAGGTCTTCTTTGCACACTCCAGTGAAATTCCTACCCTCTGGTTCATGCAGGGTCTCTTCGTCAGGGAGGAAGAATGTGCCTCACCGCCTTCCTCCTGTAGGATCAAAGTAAGGTAAGAACCTACCAGGCTCTGGGGCCTAACGTTCTTCTATTTCCACTCCAAATTCTGGTCTATTCTGTTCTCTTTGTTTCCAGAGTCATCCAGAAGAATGGAGGAAAGCCATAGCAGAAATACGTTGCAGTATAGGGAGGTTAGAAATGTACTTAGGTCTTTGAATTGTAGAAAACTTAATTCCTTTCCTCAGGCTTAACAAGGAGGTGTCTTTGTACCAGTTTGCCATGACTGTTTGGTTTCCTTTCCTTCATTCTCTGTCCAGTTTCATTCTAGCTTTTTTAAAAATATATTTTATTGATTTTTTACAGAGAGGGAGGGAGAGGGATAGAGAGTTAGGAACATCAATGAGAGGGAAATATCGATCAGCTGCCTCTTGCACATCCCCTACTGGGGATGTGACTGCAAACATGCTCTTGACCAGAATTGAACTTGGGACACTTCGGTCTGCAGGCTGACGCTCTATCCACAGAGCAAAGCCGGTTAGGGCTCATACTAGCTTTTAGACTTTCTCCTCCAGCCTCCACTGTGGTGTTCTCCAAGTCAGTCATTCCCACTCTCTTGTTCCCAGACCGACTGTGCTGGCTACTCCAAGATGAAGTTTTAACCAGTCTGTAGAGAAAATGTTGACCAATTGCCTTTAATTCTCTGTATTTTTTTTTTTTTGTGTGTGTGTGTGTGTGTGTTCAATTTGTTTTAATCCTATATAATAAAAGGGTAATATGCAAATTGTCTCCTCTACCGAGAGTTCAAACAGGGGGCGGGACTGGCCCACCAACTACCTGGGGCTTCCCCCTACCCCTGCTAAGCCAGGCCTGATCGAACCTGATCAGTGTGGGCTGGCCAGACCCCACCCATGCACGAATTCGTGCATTGGGTCTCTAGTTGAGATGTAATTTGTAAACCATAAAATTCATGCTTTTAAAATATACAGTTTAGTGACTTTTCCTGATATTTGCAAGGTTGTCCAGCCATCATCACTGTCTATTCTAGAACATTTTTATCACTTTCAAAAGAGAAAATGTTCATTTTTAAAAATTAAATTAATTGTGACCATTATTTTTACCTTTTTAAGTTTGTAAAGTAAAAATTTTGCAAGCCTGTGTGCTTGTGTGTATGTGTATAAACATATATATATGTATAGTAAAAGTCTTATTGTCCATGAAGTCTGGGAACCACTATTCTAAGAGACATTTAGGGTTCTTGTGTCTAAATATGAGAAAGTTAAGGAGAATAATTGATCAGGAGAGTGTGCATGGTGCCTAGGCAAGCATCTGGTAAGTAAAGCCTTTCTGTGGAAGTGTGCTTTCTTGTATATCAAAATCTTTACTTATTTTTAATAATTAGTTATAGCTGTTACTATTTTTAAAAGGAGTAGCATGACAGTAGATTCCTATAAGATAGAGCATATCTTAAACAGAATGTCCATATATAAAACAGATAAAATGAGAATTGTCCTACTTCAGTTAGGGGTAGGGACCAAACCCTTATCACAACGTTCCTTCATTGCTCAGCAGTGGCCCTTGAGATGCCTTCATGGAATAAGAGAGCTCAAAGATCACATTTGAAAACCACTTCATCAAACAAGCTCATAGACTCTGTGCTGTGGCGGCCTGAGCAAGGGGCAGGCAGGTGGCAGCATACCCTAAAACCATGCTGAAATAGCCTCTTGAAGGTGAAAGTTGAATCAGTACTGACATTATGCGAAAATATGCAAAACCGAAACTGAGGTGTTGCTCTCAAAAGCTGAAAACCCTGTTGTACACATGTAGAAAGAGACTCAAGGGGGAATCTGGTGTGATCAAGGTCTTAGAGGGCCAGAGATGGAACTAGAACAAGATCTAAGACCTTCTGATTGTTGGTTTGGTGTCTCCCTCTTCCATCCCCCCACTTATTTGAAAATCTAATCATGTTGCTTTTCTCCAAAATCTAATTAAACTTTTTTTTTTTTAATTTACTGATGAGACAGAGAGAGAATCTATTCGTTATTCCACTTATTTATGCATTCATTGGTTGATTCTTGTATGTGCTCTGACCGAGGATTGAACCTGCAATCTTGGTGTATTGGATATAACCAACTGAGTTACCCTGCCAGGGCCTCAAAGTTTAATTTTGAAAACATGTTACCATCTTTCAAAATCTAACTACGTGCCTTTTTCTTCATGTCTCTAGTTTCCTGGAAATCTATAACGAACGTGTGAGGGATCTGTTGAAGCCACCTGATAAAAAAAAATCCTATACCCTGCGGGTCAGGGAGCACCCAGAGATGGGGCCCTATGTACAAGGTGAGCCACTGTGATCCTGGAGGTCTGAGACCAAACCAGAGTGAGGCCAACCCTCCTAATGGTCATTAATTCAGTCAGCAGTTGCATAATGATTACTTACTGTGATCTATTGAACTAGATGCTGAGTATGTACCGATAAATAGAAAGTCCTGTCCTCATAGGCAAACTTACAATTTTGTGGGCATGAATCAGAAAACAAGCACTTAATTACAAGTTGTGATAAATGCTAATGAACAAATAAATGGATGTAGTGATGTGGGTAAGTGGTATGGGAACAGATGAGGTCTGTGGTGTCAGAACTAGCAGGGCCACGGCTGGTTCCTAGGGCAGTTAGTCTTCTTTTCAGGGTACTTTCTGTTCCATTGGTGGTGGTAGGGAGATGGGGAGATATCTGAGCTGCTTCCTCATCATGCATGATATTTGGTGTTTGCTACTCTCAGTCTTATTCCATTAGGCTCACTCTTACTATTAAGAAGGAACAGTTGGGTTCTTCCATAGAAGTTTTTACCCTTTCAGGCCACTCATAAGACGTAACATGTATATGTTATGCTCTTCTTCCCTCAGCAGTATACTCATTTAAGTCCTGACAAGGTGAGGGACATGAAAGATCAAGAGCTGGCCTCTCTCTGAACAAGGCTTGGCAGGTGGATGACTCAGCAGGTGTGCCAGTCATGATGCTGCTACCTGTATCTTTCCCAAACTTTCCATCATAAACAACAGCCTGAAAACAACAAAAAATACCACTGCCTTTGTTGGGAGCCAGTTGGAGTTTCCTTTGTCCCAGACACTGGCCTTATCTTACTGAGCTTCCATCTTTCCCATGTATATGGCCTGCAAACTTTTTAAAAAAATATATTTTATTGATTTTTACAGAGAGGAAGAGAGAGGGATAGAGAGTTAGAAACATCAATGAGAGAGAATCATTGATCAGCTGCCTCTTGCACACCCCCTACTGGGGAGTGCCCGCAACCAAGGTACATGCCCTTGACCAGAATCGAACCCGGGACCTTTCAAATCCGCAGGCTGACGCTCTATCCACTGAGCCAAACAGGTTTCGGCAGTCTGTAAACATTTTACTATCTGCTTATCCCTCCCTACCTTCAAGCTGATGTCTTTTATATTCCATCCAACTCTTTTGTTTGTTTGTTTGAGGACCTTCTTTTTCCCCATTTTTATTGAGATACAATTGATATACATTACTATATAAATTTAAGGTTTACAGCATAATGGTTTGACTTATATGTATTGTGAAATGATTACCACAAAAAGTTAACATCCATCATCTCATATACATATAATAAAAAGAAAAAAACTTCTCCTTGTGATGAGCACTGTTAGGAGTTACTCACTTAATAATTTCATATACAGCCAAAACCGGTTTGGCTCAGTGGATAGAGTGTCGGCCTGCAGACTGAAAGGTTCCAGGTTCGATTCCAGTCAAGGGCATGCACCTTGGTTTTAGGCACATCCTCAGCAGGGGGTGTGCAAGAGGCAGCTGATCAATGATTCTCTCTCATCGATGTTTCTAACTCTCTATCCCTCTCTCTTCCTCTCTGTAAAAAATCAATAAAATATATTAAAAAATAATAATTTCATATACAGGGTACCCCCCAAAATGTATGCACACTTGAACAGCTGGTAGCTCAGTTTTGAAAATGAAATATATTGTAATAAAACTTGCCTTTATAATTATCCAAAGTGTGTGTATACATTTTTGGGGACATCCTATATATCACAATAATGTTAGCTGTAAGTCATCATGTTGTACATTATTACTTCCCTAGTACTTAATTATAACTAGAAGTTTGTACCTTTTGTCTACCTTCCTTTAATTCTCTCTCCCCTCTCCCCCAACTCTGATAACCACACATCTGATCTCTTTCTATAAGCTTGGTGTTTTTTTTTAAGAATTTACATATAAGTGAGTTCATATAGTACAGTATTTGTCTTTCTTTGTCTGAGTCACTTCAGTTAGCATAGTGCCCTCAAGGGCCACCCCTGTTGTTTTTTAATGGCTGAATAATATTTCATTCTGTATATATATTATATATATGTGTGTATGTATATAGTATATATATGTATATATCATATATCTATATATCTATATATCTAAATATCTATATATCTATATCTATGAATTTATATCTATATCTATATCTTGCAACTTAATTTATCCATTCATTCATTTTGATGGACACTGGTTGTTTCCATGTCTTGGCTATTGTGAATAATGCTGCTATGAACATGGAGGTGCAGATATATCTTTGAGTTAATATAGGAATGTTTTCTTCCTTTTTTTATTTTTTTCATCACCATTTATTCCCTCTAGGAATATTTTCTTTAAGAAAACATCACCACAAAACTAGTATCACATCTAAATAATAACAACAGTTCTTTACTATAAAATGTCAGTTTTCAAAATAGTGTGCTAACATTTAGTGTAACTGTATTTAGCAGTGAGCCTGTGTAGTTACTTTGCTCTTAAATCTCTAATATAGAGATTCACTAGCACAGTTATGATGGCCCTTTTTTATTTGCTAAGTAACCAGTCATAAAAATTTACTTTCATGTCCTCAAGCAACTTTCCACTTATCTAAATCTTCCCCATTCTGCAGTGGCCAAATTCAAGTCTTACTTCCTCTATGGAGCCGCCCTGACCACTTCTCTGATCTCCTGAGCATTGATTATCCTACTCCCGTGGCACTTGGCCAGATTATCATGTATAGTATATCTGTTCATGACCGTAAACTGTGGGAAGATAGGGACATATCTACTGTATGTCAAACTGAATCTGTCATATTGTGGGGAGAATAGTATCTGTATACTTCAGGAATTTAATGAAGACCAATGAAGTATTATATAAAAATTTTTTTTATAACCTACATAGCTGAATTGTAAGGGATTTCATTGTTATTGGCTGGTTGTTGTTATTGCTACATGAATTAGTCTTATATTATAGTCTCTGTGAGGGCAGAGACAGATGTTTCCAGAGTCTATCAATGTTTAACAGTAGGCTTCCAATAAATATTTGAGTTAATTTATTATTTGAATGATTAGGAAGTTCTCTCATATCTATTAAATAATATAAAGTAGAAATTATAATGGTAAAAAATTATAGGGAAAGGTTAAACTTTATCAAAAATGTTATTTTTTTTTCTCCTTCACAATTCTGATAGGTTTATCTCAACATGTAGTTACCAACTATAAGCAAGTAATTCAACTCTTGGAGGAGGGAATAGCAAACAGGTAACACACATTTGTTTGTTCCTATCATTCTTTGAGCCTCATTCTTCAGTCCCGTGTTCTCATCCCCCTTTGGCATGTATGATGATATTTATCTCTGCAGCAACCCAACTCCTATTCAGGAGACCTTTCTCACAATAGTAATGTACCCAGGGTAAGGTGCAATGACTTAAGATTTCGTGCTCTTCTCACTAGTAATGAGATGGTCTTAAACTGAAGAATGATTGACTTAGATTTAGGCAAAGGGAAGGCTCTCCTGACTTAACATTGGAATAAAGTTATGAGGGAGACTGAATTTTATCTGGCTTAAGCAGTATTTTTCTTTGTGCACTATAATTCAAGATCTAATTTTAAAGGTCTTTCTGGCACTATAAGATTAATATTATATGTTTAATTACAACATTCTCTGTCTTTGAGGTTTCTTCTCCAGCAAGTTCTTTACTCCCTTTGTCTTTACTTCATGGTTCTGTCTTGGGATATTCTTCCAATACTACTTTTTAATATCCCCTTTTCAATTATGATTTTTATTTCTGTTGCTTAAAAATAAAGTTCTACTGTAGTTTAGCATGAAGATACATTCCCTTTTATTCTCTGATATCAGTTCATAGAATACTGCTTCTGCCCTCATGGAACCATCTCCTAAGTATACTGGACTAAATATGGATGTTTTATGATTCTCATCTCTAAGCCTAACACTGGCATTCCTTGTGTTCCCCATGGATCCTCAAGGACTCATCAGGCATAAACAATCCTCGTCCCTTCTAAAAAGGAAAAAAAAAGAAAGAATTTTTTTTTTAAAACAATAAAGTATTTATTTTGCCTAAAAACAAAAATACAAAAAAACAATCCTCGTCCTAATTGTCTTGCCTTGTATACGTAGAATCACAGCAGCTACCCATGTTCATGAGGCCAGCAGCAGATCCCATGCCATCTTCACTATCCACTACACACAGGTTGGTTAACTCTATATTTGGTTAGATTTCTTCCTCTCCTAGTCCCTTTTGACTTCTTCCATTTACAGGTATAGTAAGCTGTGCACCTAGAAACGGTAGAGGCATTTAGTAAGACTAATTGAAATATCTTCTACTTATATTTACTTTTAACATTTCAAAGAGCTTTCATGTCTGTGATCAGTATGGGCATTAAAAGAAAATAGCAAGATTGAAATAAAAATCATTAAAATAAAAGAACAGAAGATACACTTCTATTATGATGGAATGAGGAAGTCAGCAAACCCTATCCCCAAAAAGCAACCATAAAGCTGGACAAAACTGTCAAAAGCACCATTTCTCTATTCTAAAAATAGACCACAGACATATGATAAACTGAGAAACATACATTCAAAAAAACTATTGAAGGCACACTACACATATGAACTGTATAGTGCACTCATATGTACAGTGGACTTCCTTGGGCTGCTCCCATCCCTGTCTCTGTTAATGACATAGTTCAATCAGGAAGGGAAGGTTGGGAAAACCAGCAGTTGTGTTGCCGCTGGTGCCAGAGGTCTTGATTTGGGGCATTATCAGTTAAAGTGGTGATCTCAGTGGTAAGTAACTAAGGAGGGCAGGTGGCTCCATTAGTCCCAGATGGTGGTTCTGTTTCAGGTAAGAATGAACGGGCAGGCTAACAGGGGATTTAACAGGGATTCTGAGAGATGATACAGCCATAGGGGCTGTGATGAAATCCGCACATATTCTGTGCACATACACAGCAGACTATCGATAAATAGGCTCCAGCCAGCCACATGGCACTGACTGGCAGAATCTGCACATACATGCAGCGGAGACACAGAGGGCCCCGTGACTAGGGAATGTGGGGTAAACTTAAAAACTGCCTGAACTTTTAATTTATTTCCTAGCCCACATACCCTGTTTCCCCGAAAATAAGACAGTATCTTATATTATTTTTTCTCCCAAAGTTGTGCTAGGTCTTATTTTCAGGTGATGTCTTATCTTTCCATGCGCTAGGTCTTATTTTCGGAGGATGTCTTATTTTCGGGGAAACATGGTAGATCTGTCAGCAGAGTGTGTAAGTCTTATTGGCTTAAGATATTTGATGACAACTTCTGACCAATCTTTGCCTAAATACTAAGCTTTGTAGATATAGGGTGGCTTCTAAGAAGCCAAGCTTAAAATTGAAAACAACCATGGGAAAAGACTACTAAGACTGCTTTCTCTGCATATTATGGGGAGTCAGACTTTAAAGATTTATTCCAGGCAGGTTACCAAAAAAAACAACCACTACTATCTAGTCTTTTCAACAAATAGTGGTAGGACAATTGGATATCCATATGTTAAAAAAAAGATGAAAACAAAGAAAGACAACTTTGATCTATGCCACATGTGTCAAACACAAGGCCCGCGGGCCAAATCCGTCCCGCCAGGCCTTGCAATGTGGCCCGCACCGCGCTGTCATCACTGCACTCTGCTGCGTTTCCATCACAATGACAGTTTATGACTGTTCAGTAAACCATTCGGCCTGCGATTTAGGCTGGATTTTAGATTTTGGCCCCTTCTCTGATTGAGTTCGACACCCCTAATCTATGCCTTGTACTTTATCTAAAAATTAGCAAAAACTGGATCATAGACATAAATGTAAAATCTGAAAATATTACTCTTGTAGAAGATAACATGGGAGAACTTTTCTGATCTTTGATTAGGTAAAGTTTTTTTTTTTTTCCCTGCAAAAAACTTTGATGTTTCATTTGGTCCAATGCATGGGAGAGGGCTCCATGGTGGTTAAAAGAATGACTAGTAGTTTCGGAAAGAGGCTCAGGTAAAAGCCAGAGACACCAGGGGGATGCAGAGGGGCCTCTGAAAGGCCTCTGGGCTCCAAAGGCTCCTAGTTGTGCTTGAGGGTGAGCCTTTCAAAGAGATAGGCACCCAGCCCAGCCTATAAGCTGGGTAAGCCAATAAGACTTACACCAGGGGGTTAGCCAGCCTGCGGATGTTAGTCAGGTGGTTGCCCATCTTCTTGATGAGTTTCACCTCCTCATCCAGGAAGTGGTCCTCCAGGAAGTTGCAGAGATGATGGTCTGCACAGGTAGAACCCAGAGCCTGCAGCTCCAAAAGGGCTTGGTTCAGGTTCCTCTCCAAGGCCAGGGCAGCTTCCATGGTGTCCTGAATTTTGTCCCAGTCATCTTAGGAAGGTTTCTGTATATCTTGGGAGAGAACGCGGCTGCCACGCTTGTTTTGCAACTTTAAGAGATGCTCAGCACCCTCGTGCTTCTTCTCTGCCAACTTGCGTAAGAAATGGCCCACACCCTCCAGAGCCACGGCGTAGCTGTCAAAATAACCCAGAGAGAAGTAGGTAGGAGGCCACAGATGTAGGTTGGCCGGGTGATTGGCCACTCCCCCTGGGTGGAAGAATTCTGACGAGTTTGGGAGCTCATGGTTGTTCAGCAATAAGGAGTTAAGGTAGAAAAGCTGGTGTGCTGGTTGGTCCCGGAGGTGGTTCTGAAGGTGGTGACTGGATGAGATGCAGGAGAGAGGCCAGAGGCTGGAAGAAGGGGTGTCCCTGGGTCTGTTCCATCCACACACTGTTGAAGCAAGACACAGGTCCGGGACTGCCAGAGCACTGCCTGAAGTTGTTTTTATTTTATTTATTTATTTATTTATTTATTTATTTGTTTGTTTTAGATATAATACTAACAATACAAATTGAACAAAAGAACAAATGGAAATTTGGAATTGGTCAAACTTTTAAACTTCTGTTCTTTGAAAGATACTATCCTATCTAATAAAAGAGTAATATGCAAATTAACCATCACTTCGTCTCAAAGATGGCGGCACCCAGTTTTCTCAGCCTCGCCAGAGTCCCTCAGTCCTAGGGGGGGCAGCTGCCAAGAGCGGGCAGCATGAGTGGCCTGGTGGAATGCTTGCTTTGTCGCCATGGCGACAAGGTAAGCGTTCCACCCCAGCTGCGGAGGGCCTCTGGGCAGCAGGCACAGAGTGGCAGGGGATAGGGGGGAACACTTGTGTTGTCATCCCGGCAATGAGGCAAGTGTTCTGCACCGAGCCACGATGGGCCTCTGGGCTGTGGAGAACATCTGGGCAGCAGGTGCGGAGCATCCAGGCCCTGCAGGGCTACTAGTTAAGAGAATAAAAAGAAAAGCCACAGATTGGGAGAATTTATTTGTAAAACGTAAATATCTGATAAAGTATTTGTATCCAGAATATATAAAGAACTCTCCAAACTTAATAAAAGTCAAAACAATGGTAAAATTTTGAGCCAACACTTCATTCAAGAAAATATTCAGATGGCAATTAAGCACTTGAAAAGATACCCAACATCATTAGTTATTATAGAATGCAAATTGAAACCAAAAGAGAAATCACTACTCACTTTTTAAAATGTCTAAAATTAGCCCTAGCTGGTTTGGCTCAGTGAATAGAGTGTCGACCTGTGGACTGAAGGGTCCCAGTTTGATTCTGGTCAAGGGTATATGCCTGTGTTGTGGATTCTATCCTCAGTGAGGGATCAGCCAGCCAATGATTCTCTATCATTATTGTTTATATCTATCCCTCTCCTTTCCTCTCTGAAAAAAAAAAATCTATTAAATAAAATGGCTAAAATTTAAAACAGCAATTATTCTAAACTAGAGACCTGGTGCACAAAATTTGTGCATGGGGGGGGGGGGTTTGGTCCCTCATCCCAGCCTGCACCCTCTCCAATCCCAGCCTGCACCCTCTCACAATCCAGGACTGCTGGCTCCCAACTGCTCGCCTGTCTGCCTAATTGCCCCTAACCACTTCTGCCTGCCATCCTGATCACCCTCTAACCACTCCCCTGCCAGCCTATCAATATTTAACTGCTCCCCTGGCAGCCTGGTTGCCGCCAACTGCCCTCCCCTGCAGGCCTGGTCACCCCCTCCTTTGCAGGCCTGGTCCCTCCCAACTGCCCTCCCCTGCTGGCCTGATTGCCCATGACTCTCCTCCCCTGCCAGCCATCTTGTGGCAGCCATCTTACTTCCACATGGGGGCAGCCATCTTGTGTGTTGGAGTGAGTCAATTTGCATATTACTCTTTTATTAGATAGGATAGTGGCAACATGTATAGGAGCTGGAGTTCTCATACACTAACTACTGGTGGCAATGGAAAGTGGTACAATACCTTTCAAAAGTTTTTTTTTGTTGTTTTTTTTTAATTTACCATATGCCTACCATGTGATCCACTCCTAGGTATTTTTCCCAAGACAAAAAAAAAATGTCCACACAAAGACTTGTACACAAATATTCATGTTTGTTACTTGTATAAAATATATTTTGTAATAAATTATAAAATTTATTTGTAATTGTTCAAAACTGAAAACAACCCAAATGTCAATCAAAAGGTGAATGGATAAACTACTCAATGGAATACTACTTAGCAATAAAAATGAATGAACTACTGATACACACCTTAAAATGTATGAATCTTGAGATATTTATGCACAGTGAAAGAAGCCATATATTATAGTATTCTATTTATATGAAATATCCCGAGAAGATGAATTTATAAAGATAGAAAGTTGTTAGTGGTTGCCTAGGGCTGGGGTTGGGAATGGAGAGTGATTGCAAACACACTTGAGGAAAATTGAGAAATATTTTAAAGCTGGATTTTTTGTGATGGATGTACAACATTAAAACAAAACAATAAACATTGAATTAAAGAGGGGGAAAAAGGAAAAAGTAGTTTTGCTCCTGAGGGCTGGATGCCCCCGAATATAATATAAAGATGCACGGTGCTTGCTCTAGCCCAGCGATTTCCAGTCCATGTTCTGCAGTACACTTGTGTGCTGCAAAAAGCTTTAAAACATGCAATACCTGATATTTAGTTAGGGGTGCCGACCTCTTTTCCCTTAGAATGGCAAATAAGAAAAATGAGAATAGCTGACACAATAGCCACCCTGTGTGAATGAATCAAAATTACCAGTATATCTATTTTTTTTTTGTCAGATCAGCAAAAAACACACTTTTTGGTGTGCCACAGAATTTTAGTAATTAGTTTGTGTGCCATGGGATGAAACAGATTGAAAATCGCTGCCGTAGCCAGTTAGCCTGATGTGACTAAGGTTAACGAGAGACAGACAAAACCTCCAGCAGGGCCCTAACCTGCTGTGAGAGTCGGAGCCCCTGGAGGAAAGCTGAACATCTGCCTGGTCAATTGCACTAAAATTCTCGGTGTCCCTTGGTGTCAGAGGACTTTTTGGGGGTTTGCCCAGTTTTTTTCAGTAGAAGTCTTCTCATGTTTTCAGTGAAGTAAGGACCCAGAGCTTACTGATTGTATCAGATATTGAGATCTCATCTGGCACATTTGAATATAGATTTTTTTGGAATGAGTTGGCTAAAAATCCAAAATCTCAGCGTGGTTAGGAAAGGGCGGCAGGGGGGCGGGGGGACGCATTGTTCCAAATGACAAGATTTACGTGTGTTTCTACCTTAGGCGGTTCTGGAAAACAACCACCCCTCTGAAATTGCTAGCAAGATCAACCTCGTGGACTTAGCAGGCAGGTAATTAGATTTCAAAGCCAAGGGGAATTACTCCCTTGGCAGAGACCTTGTTCTTGCTATTTTTAAAGGGAATAACCTTGTTCCAACCTTTTTTCATATTTCAACAATCCTGAGAAAATCACAAAAGAAACGTTCTTTGAATACTAGGTTAAGAAATTATAGCTTCTAGGAACTGTGAAAAGTTTTGTGTCAGGGGATCTCAATCCTAGTTGTCTATTAAAATCATCTGGGACCTTTTAAAATTCCCAATGTCTGGGCTGCACCTTACACCAAATAAATCAGATTATTAGTGGGGTCTGGGGAGTGCAAGCATCGGTAGTTTTAAAGTGCTCAGTGCTAGCCAGAATTGAAAACTGCTGCTCTAAAAAGCATACTATTTTCCTTTGACTTAGTTTTGATTTTATACATCTCTCTACATTATTAAAAAAAAAAAAGTTTTGTGTTGTTTTTTAATATTGTGGCATTGAGGAAAACATTCTGCCTTTTTTAAAAAAAACAAAACAAAAAAAAACCCACACACATATTTTATTGATTTTTTTACAGAGAGGAAGAGAGAGGGATAGAGAGTTAGAAACATCAATGAGAGAAAAACATTGATCAGCTGCCTTCTGCATACCCCCTACTGGAGATGTGCCTGCAGTCAAGGTACATACCCTTGACTGGAATCGAACCTGGGACCCTTCAGTTTGCAGGCCAATGCTCTAGCCACTGAGTCAAATCAGTCAGGGCAACATTCTGCCTTTTAAGTATTAGAATGAAGCATGAATTATAGTCACATGTCCAGAAAGAAGAAAGTCTTGGGGACAATGTGGTCACAGAAAAGTAAGATGAAATAAGGAAATTTTCTTATTTTAAAATTGCTAAATAATTAATATGGTACAGTAGTCCCTTAAAAACTAAGTGCAAAAAAAATCTCCCCAAAACAACTAAGTGCTATCTGGAATGAACTATATCAATTAATCAGAAGTGTAAATTTTGACTATTGCCCATTTATTTAAAAAAAGAAATTTGAGATAGTTGACAGTAATGACACAGATATCATAAAGCCAGTAATGTGTGAAATAAAACAATAAAGGCAGAGGGGCAGTGACTATACCAAAAAGCTATGATACCACTTTGGCCAGCAAACTGGCCTGATTGGGGGTGGGGCTGGCTGGCCAACCTCCTGCGGTCCCTGCCCTCAGCCATCCTACTCCTGATCAGTCTCTCCCACCCTGATTGAGGGCAAAGCAGCTGATCAACCTCCTTCCTCCTGGCTGGCCCTGTCCCTGATCAGCCTGCCCCACCCTGATCAGCCTGCAGTTTCTCCCCCAGGCCAGCTCCTCCCCTGATCAGGTGCAGGGCTGGCTGACCAACCACCCATGGCCTTCCCCAAGGCCGCTGGCTCCCCGATCAGTGCCAGCCGGACCCTACCCATGCACAAATTCATGCACTGGGTCTCTATTCCTATATAATAAAAGACTAATATGCAAATTGTCCTCTCAACAAGGATTTTGACCAGGGGGTGGAGCCAGCCGGCCAACCGCCTGTAACCCCTCCCCCAGCTGGCCTCTGGCCAAATCAACCCTAATTTGGGCAGGCTGGCTGGACCCCACCCTTGCACAAATTCGTCCACTAGGCCTTTAGTGCTAATATAATTATTGTGAGTGTTGCATTTAGTTGGAAGGACTCTGGCAGCCAAACTAAAAACAGAAATGTAATGAATTATTTGATTTTTAATGCTTGAGAAACAGAAGAATTCTAGTTCATTACAAGATGGTAACTTTTTTTTTTTAATATATTTTATTGAATTTTTACAGAGAGGAAGAGAGAGGGATAGAGAGTCAGAAACATCGATGAGGGAGAATCATCGATCAGCTGCCTCTTGCACGCCCTCCACTGGGGATGTGCCCGCAACCAAGGTACATGCCCTTGACCGAATCAAACCTGGGACCTTTCAGTCTGCAGGCCGATGCTCTATCCACTGAGCCAAACCGGTCTCGGCTGGTAACTTTTTTTCTGGAATTGAATTCTAAAAGGAATTTATTGGATCTTTTATGTGATGTACAACATAATGGATAGTATCTTCAGCAATATTGTAAGGATAGTGTTGTCTTGTTTGCTTTTTTTCTTCATTTACTTTTTTAGTGAAAGAGCAGACCCCAGCTACTGTAAGGATCGGATCACTGAAGGAGCCAATATCAACAAGTCTCTCGTGACTCTGGGAATTGTCATCTCTACCTTAGGTATTTGGCTGATAGACTGGATCATCAGAGTGGGAGGGAGACTTTGGAGAATAACTCATGTATTTCTATTTTATCAAAATGGAGCAGAAAAAAAAAAATAAACCAAAATGGAGCAGATACAAGATTCTTTTTGATGTAGTTACCTTGTGGTTTGGGGCATAAAAATAGATTTTTTTTTCTTTCTTTTTTTTTTTAAATTTATTTATTTATTTATTTTTTAACATATTTTAATGATTTTTTTTGCCCCCCTCCCTCCCTCCCCCATATCCCCTCCCTCCCCATAGTTTTATGTCCATTGGTTGTACTTATATGCATGTATACAAGTCCTTCGGTTGATCTAAAAATAGATATTTATCTGTTGATTTAGAATACCAGTTAGCCATTATCCTTGTACTCTCATTTCAGAAAGAAGAGAGACTAAAAAATTGTGTAACTCAAGTTCTCCATGTCATGAGTCCAAAGTCTGATTTAGAACTCAAACTTAAAGCATCTTACTGTATGCAGAAAGGGATTAGGAAGTGCTCCTAGCCGTTGTTTTCTTTTAATGCATTTGCTTCAGAATTTCTTTTTTTCTCCCAATTTTATTATTTTTTGTATTTTAAGCCCAGAACTCTCAAGTCTTCAGCAGCTGCCAGAGCCTTAACAGTGTAATTAGAAGTGGTGGTGACAGTGGGATTTCTGGCTCTCCTGGGACCAGCATTGAAGGGGGACCCTCTCGGAGGCAGTCCTATATTCCATACCGGGACTCCGTGTTGACCTGGCTGCTGAAGGACAGCCTTGGAGGCAACTCCAGAACCATCATGGTTGCCAGTGAGTAGGAAGCTGGGACTGGTTCTGGGTTAGGACTGGTACTGTGCCTCAGAGAAAGGGCCATGACCACCCATTTCATCAAGGGTCTCTTACACAGATGGAGAGTAACAGCAAGGCAAGTGGTTATGGGCTGGGTCAGAGGGCTCGGCATGATTTTTAACTTTCTCCTTGTACCTTAGCTGTGTCTCCTGCACACACTAGCTACAGTGAAACCATGAGCACACTGAGATATGCATCAAATGCCAAGAACATCATCAACAAGCCACGGGTGAATGAGGTGAGACCTTCATCTGAAGTCCTGGTCTGTTATCCTATATAATAAAAGCCTAATATGCTAAGTGTCCAACTGTGTGGTCGTTTGACTAGTTGCTATGACACACACTGACCACTAACCTACTTTGACCAGTAGGTTAGCGAGCTGCTGGGGTCCGGCTGATTGGGACTGGGCGGGACATGCCAGACACGCCCTGGAGCCCTCTTATGGTCCCTCCCTGGCCCTGATGGTGCACTGGTGGGGTCCCTGGGCCTGGCCTGTGGGGATTGGGCTGAAATCAGCTCTCGGACATCCCCTGAGGGGTCCCAGATTGCGAGAGGGTGCAGGCCAGGCCTCGGGACCTCACCAGGGCATGAATCCGTACACCCGGCCTCTAGTACTTTACATAAAGGTCTCCTTTTGTTATTTCTCTCACTGGTGTCATTCTTCTTAAGTATTTCTCTCTTTCTCTCCTCTTGCCAAACTTGTTCTGAATAATAAGAAAGTGAAATTTTTTCTAGTGTTAATACCTTTCTCTCATATCTCTACTGACTTCATTTATAACCTTTTATGAATAATTTATTTTAAATATTTCCCTAAGACCATTCTTCTTAACATCTGTGGTGTACCATTGTCACTATAAGAAAGATTATTTTCTTATTTATTTAATTAATAATTATTTATTTACTAATTTTATTCTGAATATATGTTAATGCATGCTTATATGTTGATGCATACAAATGGTGGTTATGTCTCTGTTTCAGGCTAAAATAGGCACATAATAAATTCATTAGTTTTGAAAGCTGAATAATGATGAGAATATTCCAAAAATTCCTTATCTGCTTTGCAATTTCAGTGAATGGTTCCACAGCAGTGATTACAAACTAGTGGCCAGACAGATCTATGTGGACTATTATAAAAGGCAACGTAATTATAATTGTAATTAGCTCACGCCAGGTGGATCAGTTGGTTGGAGCATCTTACAGTGCATCAAAAGGTGCAGGCTCCATTCCTGTCAAGGCACATAATTAGGTTATATGTTCAATCCCCACTGGGGACAAGTACAGGAAACAACTAATCGATGTTCTCTCTGTGTCCTCCTTCCTCTCTCTCTAAAATCAATAAAAACATATTTTTAGCCAAGGGTTAAAAGAGGCAATGTAGTTAAACAGGTACTAAGTTTAGTTACAATACAGAAAGGTTAGCATCTACTATCTGAAAAGCCCTGGCATTTGTGTTACCTGCCTGACCTCCTGCTCTAGGACCGTGATTCTCAAACTTTAATATGTATAAGAATCTCCTGGAGGGTTTCTTAAACCACAGCTTGGGCCCCAGCCCTCAAGAATTTTTTATTTAATAGATGTTGAGTAGGGACAAAATTTGTATTTCTAACAAGTTCTTAGTCCTGGAACCACATTGTAAGAGGCTACCCCAGAAGGTACTCCCAAGGAGTAATCTACTTCTTCCAAGCTGATTGCATGAAGCATCTCACAGCTATCCAGGGCCTGATATCAATCAGTGGTGACTGAGTTCTCTGTGTTTCAGGATGCAAACATAAAGTTGATCAGAGAACTCAGGGAAGAGATTAGAAGACTGAAAGCCGTGCTACTGAGCTTCGAACTGGTATGCAGGCAATCAGAACTTGTATGTATTCAAGAGCCCCTTTTCTCCCACAAAGAATCTGAGTCCTGCTTCATTGTGTTCTCAGTGAAGTAACACCTGTGGGGCGGGCAGGTGCAGAGACAGGATGGGGATTGCTCTGGTTGCCTGTGTGGTTTCAGTCTGAGTGGACATCCTCGTACTCTACCATCTTTGTTGTCCAAGGGTATTTGCCTGAATGGTTCTTATTCTGTGTGTGGGCAGATAAGGGGATGGGGCTCTCCAGAAAAATTTCCTGAATTCACCTTCTTTGTGTCAATCTGAGCCCAAATACTTAGGCTTCTGATTTATTTCTGATTTTAATTATAGTCTTTCCCTTATCTGCATCTGATGTCCCCTCATCAGCGTAAGGGTGGGACCCATGAAACACAGCTCTTTCTTTGTGCAGAGAAACTTCAGTTCATTGCGTGACGAGAAGGATGGCAGTCTGAAGGAGCTGGTTCTCCAGAACGAACTGAAGGTGGGTGTGTGAGGTGGACCCTGTGGTGCTTTATATCACCCGGGGAGGAGGTCCGATTTCCTCCATCATTCCTGGTCCCGGGCTGTTCCCTCGTCAGCAAAGTGTCTGGTTTAGAGATACTTTTTGTCTTCACTGGGCCTTGAATGGGGGATTTGTTTGTCTGAAGAGCTAGTGACAGCTCTGACTTTGTTTTGTTCTCTCAAAGATTCATAACTCCCTTTGGATAGTGACAGTAGCTTAGAAAATAAAATTTATTTTCTAGTTGGTAAATCAACCAACCAACATGTATTCATTGAGCACCAAAGAGGTGCTCTGCATGATGCTACAAGAAATACAGAGTAGTCCCTGCCTTCAAGTGGCTTGCAGTGTAGTTGGGAACACAGTCAGAGAGTGATTGAATGTAATAACTGTATGAGTTAGACCAGTGGTCAGCAAACTCATTAGTCAACAGAGCCAAATATCAACAGTACAATGATTGAAATTTCTTTTGAGTGCCAAATTTTTTAAAACTTAAACTTCTAAGGCCACTTCTTCAAAATAGACTCGCCCAGGTCGTGGTATTTTGTGGAAGAGCCACACTCAAGGGGCCAAAGAGCCAATTGTGGCTCGTGAGCCGCAATTTGCCGACCACAGAGTTAGATGAAAGACCTTCAGGAAGGAAAGAACCATGATGGCTTGGAATTGGAGCTGGAAGTCAGAGAACTTGAACTAGACCTGGAAGAATTGATAGAGTTTGTTAGGTAGATAGAAGGGGTAAGGAATTTGGGATGAGAGAGGGATAATATAAGCAACACCATGGAACTGAGAGAATGAATGTCTCTGGGAATCACCACTTAATCTAATCACCCAAAATGTTTTGTCTGCCCTCTCACAGGGTCACACTTTTCTGGTTGTCTCTCTGCCTCCAGGCTTCCCTCCCTCCAATCCAAGGTGAGGGCCAGTTGGGGAGGTTTGAACCAGGGTGGTGATAATGAAGAAGTATAGTAGGGAAATGAATGTGACAGTTGTATGTAGGATGAATTGGAGGGAGGAAAGCCTGGAGGCAGAGAGACAACCAGAAAAGTGTGACCCTGTGAGAGGGCAGACAAAACATTTTGGGTGATTAGATTAAGTGGTGATTCCCAGAGACACTTAAAAGGAAAAAAAGGCAGGCATTATTTAATGACAGGTTCTATTGAGATCCTGCAAACAAATGTCTCAATGTCCAGTATTCTATAACATCATCCTATGTGTTATTCAAGTATCCTGGCTGTGTCAGCATATTATCCAAACTAAACTTTAGGAGTATATCATACATCCAGAAGTTTCTCAGAAATTCTATGTTTAACCATATGTTCTAATCTGGGGTTCAGAAAATTTTGTATTTCTATACATAAGAGATAAAGAGTCAAAATCATTCCAGGCTTATTAGCAGTTTCGCATTATGCAGGCCAGCAGAATTCAAGGGGGCTTGAGTCTGCAATGGGCTGGCCTATCCTGTGATGGCAGGCAGTGAAGGAGTTGGTGAGAGAGCCAGCCAGAGGGAGGCGTGTCCAGCTGTGCCTCCAGGTTCTGTGCCGGGTTGGCCAAACTAAGCCAGAGTGACCTGCTATTTACCTCTGCCAGTTCCCAATCCAGCTCAGCCCTTTGGTTACCCTGTAGTTTTCAAACTTCAACTCAGGGAATGTGACATTAAAAGTTATTTTTGTAGGGTACATAAAATAGTTGTATACAAACTTGGCATAGCATCTTTTTTCTTAAGTATTGTACTTATGAGAGAAGTATTTAGGTGAATTCAGTTTCTTTTTTGAGTTCCTCAATTCTTCCACTTCCAGGATAAGCTGCCTGCCTAGGCATGAATTTCCACTATATGAAGGAAAAAGACTCTGCATTCAATATTATTTGTTTACATTCTTTAGATGGTGTTAAGGCCCCAACTCTTGGTACATTTATTTTTAAAACTGTGATCCTATACATAATAAGCCCTCAGGATTTTATTGTTGTTGCTATTTTATTACTATGTGGTGTCATAGTTTATACATTCTCCCTGGGGAGACTTCTCTTGTGCTTTGTGGTCTTTGAGCCACGTACACACTCACATTAGAAGTGCAGGTGCTGCTCCTTGAGAAAGAAGTGTTAGGTCACAAAAGGATTCCCAGGATGGCTCCCCTAGAAGGGGATGAGGAGAGGGAATTACAGATGTCTGACTAATATCTCCATCAATTTAAAAAATAACACATAGTGTTTGTCCCCAATTATAAAAATAATACATGCTGTTGCAGAAAACTTTAAAAACAATGTTTATGAAGGAGTTTCTATTTAGGAAAGTAACACTTGCTTATTGAAGAAAACTTGTAAACACAGAGATCTCCCAGAGGAGGTGCAAGGACCTCTGTGGGGCTTCGGCCAGTGGCAGTGAGGAGAGTAAGGAAGTGATACCTGGGGAGCGGTGGGGGATCAGACCAGGATGCCACCTCAACTTCAGTCCTGCTTCCTGCGCTGAGTCTCTGAGACCACCTCCTCTGTCTCTGCAGATAGACCAGCTGACTAAAGACTGGACTCAGAAGTGGGATGAGTGGAAGGCCCTCATGGAGCATTACAGAGTGGACATCAACAGGAGGAGGGCTGGGGTTGTCATCGATTCCAGCCTGCCACACCTGATGGCCTTGGAGGAGGATGTGCTCAGCACAGGTGTCGTTCTCTACCACCTGAAGGTGAGCAGGCAGGTGCATTCCCTCTTCCTGAGTTACTGGCTCCAGAGGTCGAGGAGGGAAAAGCCAGAGGCAGCAGCTGTGCATTTGTGAATTGAGACAGATGTCCCAGAGCAGACTTCAGGTTTGCCCGCAGGAAACAGCTAGCCAGCCAATTGGTACCTGTTTGGCTTTTGTATGAATGGAGCAGGAAACTGGAAATCAGAACAATCATTTTTCTTTTGTAGTTACTGGTACTGTTGCTTTTATATAATTTACTTTTGTTCTCTGAATCTTAATTTCCTCATCCTATATAATAAAACCCTAATATGCAAATTGACCAAATGGCGGCATGACCAGCAGAACGACTGGTCACTATGATGTGCACTGACCACCAGGGGCAGGCGCTCAATACAGAAGCTGCTCAGCCAGAAGCTGGGCTCACAGCTGGCAAATGCAGTGGCGATGGCAGGAGATTCCTGCCTCCGCTGCAGGTGGGCAGTAAGGAGCAAGGAGTCTCAGACTGCTAGAGCCCCTGACTTTGAAAGCGATCAGGCCTTAGCTGGCAGGCAGACATCTGCCCCCAAGGGGTCCCAGACTGTGAGAAGGCACAGGCCGGCCTGAGGGGACTATCCCTCCCCCCAGTGCACCAATTTTATGCACCAGGCCTCTAGTTTTAAAATAAGAATGATGCTGCTTGTATTCCTTTTCTGGCTTCCTAAAACACACAAATGCAGGCAAGGAAGTGAAATCCTAACCTTAAAGTACCATTGGTACTCCTGAGTTGTGCAAATGCAGACTGCTAACAGATGGCTAATGGGGCAGTCAGTTCCCTTTTAATACTTCCCCATGTCACTCAACCCACAAACCAACAATCTCCATTATTAGGTTTACTTGGGAAAGAAGAGAGGAGAGAGAAAGTAGATACCTGAACCTTAGAGAAACATGAGGGAGAGTCTAAAGGGATGGAGGTGGGGGGTGGGGGCATGACATGCAGCCACCCAGAGAAAACAGAATAAAGTTAAGGCTTTCCATGAAGGACCTTGCTCAGCTGGTTCTTGGTCATCTGGAGGCAAGGTCCTCATTTCTAAATGAAGCAGTTTGAGAATCAGTTACCCATGGTAGATAGTTTCATATCCTGACCTCATAAAAAATGTCCTGCTGTCGGACAGTCTCTGTGGAAGACAAAATATATTTTACGTGTCCAAATTTCGTGCTCACTGAAAATCCAGTCTTCATTCTCATAATTGTCCAAGGTGGACATGAAAAAGAACAGAGTTTATGGGGCTTGTGTAATGCTGCTATTATCCCTGGAGAAATTAGACTCCTAATGCTGCAGTGCATGCGGTAGTGAGATGTTACCAAAGCTCATCATGTGCAGAAAGTCTGTTCTTAGGATAAGCCCCGAAGGAGTTGTCAGAGACTGGGGCTCTCAGACAACGTTAAAGTAGCTTATTGTATGATACACAAAGTGCAAATGATCTCAGTGAAAATGCCTCAGGCAAAACCTAAATACTATGAATCCTTCTTAGTCAGAGCCACTGGGAGAGATTGGAAGTCACCAGGTGGATTAAAATGGCCAGTATTTGAGGAGAACTGATCTGATATATTGATTGCATGTGGAAGGAGCAGATGAAGCTGGAAGTCAAGTGGTAGAGCTTGGGGTACAGCTGAGGGTCAAAGGACACAACTGCCCATCTGAACCCAGAGGTGCTGGCTTTCCCGCTGAGTCAGTGCACACCCAGGTGGCACTCCCTCTCTGGGTGCGTGTCCAGTGAGCCAGGGCATGGGGTTCCAGTTAGTGCTAATCCTGGCATTTCTGCATACTATGTACCCATTTACTCTTTCATTTTTTTACACCCTGGTTTGGGGATGTAACAGTAATCACTCAGGATGCTCTCCTGTTTGTTTTTTGCTTTGCTGACTTGGTTCCAGATCTGGGACTAGTCACTAGCAATGCCCTGGGAGCTGTTTTCCCTTGAGCCACCTCAGGAGGAACCTCAGGTGGAAGGGGGCCGAGGGAAGGATGCATAGAACACAGGTTACTGATGTCCTGGAATTCCCCACATACGTGCCTTTGTGCTGTTTACCCTCCCCTGGGTAAGGAGGCAGTTCAATCCTGTTAAACAGAAGCCATCGCATTTTCTGGTTGTTACTGCCCTGCAGGTCAGGAAGTTGTGATGTTCTGTGGCCTTCATCCTGTGAGGAGGAATGTGCCTCATCATCAGGGTGACCCTGAACCCACACGAGGGGTCTTGACCTCTTTCTCTTGATTCTGTTTGGCAGTGCTTGGAGGCCAGTGTCCATTGGCTTGTGTGGTCCTCAGTGACTGAGCAGAAAAGTCTGGGCTCTGGCTATTTGTGGGTGTGCATGTAGAGGGAGGCGCAGAGCCTCATTCATCACTTCTAGGAGTCTTCCTTCTCACCAGCTCTTTGGGGGAAACGGTAGGGACCACCCCTGAGGCTGTGAACAGCGAGGCCTCAGCTACCGGAGAGGCGGTATGATGAGGTCGGAAAAGCACGGAATTCTAGCCAGAACTCTCCTATTTAGTTTATGGTTTCATCAGCTTCCGATTCCTCGTTATGAACATACGAACAGGGGATAATAATACCTACATTTGGGTTAAAGGATTAAATCAGAGGTGTAATAAGTCAGCACATTGCCTAGGACATAGTGAATGGTTTATTCAGTTAATGACAAATACATATTTAAACTCAGCAACTCTTTGCCATTTGCTGCCTTCTTTAACAGAGCTGTGTGGTCTGAATTGTCATAATCAAAGGCCAAAAGGCCTTGTCTTCTACTAACCTTGTGACTCATTTATATTAACTCCCGTTTCCCCTCCTCTCTTATACTCTCTTTCAGTCCTTTTTTTTGATTCTAGATGTGCTTTTGTCCTATTCGTGCTTTATCCTTCTTACAATCTGGTGTCTGTCAAACTTCATCTGCGGACCAAGAAGGTAAAAGTCCTGTGCTCCCATTCACCTTCTAGAACACGTGTGTCTGAGACTGACTGGACTACATGACCCTCAGCCCTGGGAAAAGCTATCCCTGTGTGTGCCCACTTCCTCAGACTAAGGTCTCTGATGGCCATGGCTATTCCCTAACTTCAGGCTGTAGGAGTTTGCCAACACTTGTTGGACTTTGCAAAGATCTGCTGCTGATATTTTTTGTTATATTTTTTGCCCCCACCCTCTCAGGTCCTTCTGGCTGCAGAGTGAGTGGGAGGAGCAGTCAGAACAGCCTGAACCCAAGTTGAGAAGTGATATGGGAAAAGCTGGGGTGGGTGGGGGAAGACAGTGATAAACTCCAACAGTGGACTCTCCTCTGGAGGCAGGGCTGTGTTCCTTTTTATTCTCATTTCAATGGCTTTGTTTTTCCCTTTAGGAGGGGACAACAAAAATAGGAAGGATTGACTCAGAGCAGGAACAGGATATTGGTAAGTGACAGAGCGTCTGGGCTGACACTTGGTGGCAGGTGCTCAGGCCTGACAGGTTTCTGCAGAGGAACCGGATGGTGCTCTGAGCGGAAAGGGTCTTTGAAGTCCTAAAGGGCCGCTCCTTTTGCGGCTAGGCTGGGGGATTGCAGCTCTGTGGCTGGGACATGACAGGAGGGGACCCACATGTGGGAGGACCCAGGACTAGGTGGGCTCTTCTTCTCTTGTCATGATTTGAGATCTTCCAGATGTGGATTCTGATCTCATGGGAAGAATGGAGGAGGTGTTCCCCTGGGCCATGCCTCTGTCCAGGTGACCCCCACCTCTCCTGTAGTCCTGCAGGGTCAATGGATCGAGAGAGACCACTGCACCATCACCAGCGCCTGTGGGGTCGTCATTCTGCGGCCTGCTCAGGGGGCCCGTTGCCTCGTCAATGGCCGGGAAGTCACTGCCTCCTGCCGTCTGACCCAGGGTAGGACTGTCTGCATTCCTGTTTATGCCAGGATGAGTGATGGACCAGCTCCATGCTCATGGGCTGGACTCAGAGAACCCAGTGAAGCAGTCTCTGCACCCAGAGATCGGAAGGTTTCCTAATAAGTCTTCTTCGCATGCAAGAAGCCCTATTTTTTGGGCCCCAGAATGGAGAATAAATCTGAAATTTGTCCTTGTGTTTATTAGCTCTGTGCTTGGGAAAGTCTCTGAGCTTCCATTTCCTCATCTGAAAAATGGGGATAATAATAGGATTGAATAGCAGGAAGTGTGAGGGTTAAATGAGCTAATTCATGTAATGTTGTTCTTAACAGTTTTCTTGGCATTTAGTAAACACTCATTATCATTATTACTGTCACTATTACTATTATTTTTAATCTGTTTAAGTTCTCTGTCCTTTGAGGCTGAGCTTACATTCCCCCTTTCCCATGAAGTATTCCCTGACTGCTACACCTGGGGCACATCTTACTTCTCTTTTGAGTACCAGGCTCTTCCTGTTCATCTCATTAGTTTGATGCATGTGCTGTGCAGTATCCAATGAATCTATATTTTATTGGCTCAGCTGAGATATCCACTTGTTGAGGGTAGGACTTTCATCTCCCAGAACAGTGCCCTGCATGTAGTGTATCCTCAGAACAGGAGCTGAATTCTCATCTGCCTCTCTGCCTCTCTGCCACAGGAGCAGTCATAACCCTGGGGAAAGCACAGACGTTCCGATTCAGCCACCCAGCAGAGGCCGCTGTCCTTCGGCAGAGGAGGCAGGTTAGCACGCTGTGCTCTGTGTGTGGCTGCTGGCCTCCCGGTGCCTCCTTTCTGGGGAAGGAGTTTGAGCTTTGTCTGGCTTTCTTGGGAGGGTGGGGAGGACCGATGACTGCAGACTTGCTGTGCTTTCTTCCTGTTCCCAGGTCGGAGAGGCTGTTGGTGGTAGTGGCTCTTTGGAGTGGCTGAACTTGGATGGAGATGTCACTGCCTCCAGGCTGGGTCTCTGCTCTCTGCTTGGGAAGAAAAGGTGAGAAACATCTGCTCATTCTGCTGTGAAACCTATGAATGTTTCTTCTTAGTCCATTACAACGTGGAGCTGGGAGGAGATGAGGGTAGCAGCCGCAGTATGAATGGAGCCTGGTCTGCACCAACTTGGAATGTGATTTGAAGATGCTGAGCTAGCTGCTCGGCTGATAGTTGGCAGGGAAGTGGTCTTGGCCCTCATTTATTTCCTCTTTGATATTCCAGTTTTCTTCATCACTGAAAGGCATGACATTTGTTGTTTCCTATACCACTTTCCTCTGTCACCCAGATTTAAATGTGGTGTGTTTGTAGGCAGCTTTGATTCAGTTTCTGAACTTCCCTCCCTGTAAACCTCGTTACCTTCCATGCTTCCTGTGTGGGAGCTCGGATGTGTGCCACATAGCTTCCAGGCTTTCTCTGAGTTTTTAAAGACATTGTGGGACTGAGACTCCTTTTTTTCTCTTTGCCAAGAGTCCAGAACTATGCATAACAGGACAGGACCTCCAGAAGAAATGTGAAAATATCTTGGGGTTCTACCCTCTCCCATTCACTTCACCAGCACTGTAACTGTGAGGCATGGAGCCAGAGGTTTTTTTGTTTTTTTTTAAAAATATATTTTTATTGATTTTTTACAGAGAGGAAAGGAGAGGGATAGAGAGCTAGAAACATCGATGAGAGAGGAACATTGATCAGCTGCCTCCTGCACACCCCCCACTGGGGATGTTCCCGCAACCAATGTACATGCCCTGACCGGAATCAAATCTGGGACTCCCTCAGTCCGCAGGCCGACGCTCTATCCACTGAGCCAAATCGGTTTCAGCATGGAGCCAGAGTTTTATATGTGATTGGTGGCAACTACTTTTCTTCTTTATAGTCATTCTTTGCCCATTTCTTCATAGAATTCCCTTCCAGCTTTAGATACCTGTGGATTTGGTATTGGGAACAGTGGTATTCTTCTGTTCCCATAGGCAAAGTGGCTGCTGCCTTGGGGACTTCCTTTAGCAATGTCAGCAGGGGATTCGGTGCCTGTGAGACCACCGGGGTCAGGGTGCTGTCCAGCACCACGAGCACAGGGCTCCTGGAGGGGTTCTGATGGCATTGGTCCCGTGGTTACTTCTGGGGATCCAGCTGTTCTTGCCTCAGGCCAGGTGAGTGCAGTGGCAGCTGGAGGCAGCCTGAAGTCTGACCGTGCAGTGAGGGATGTCAGGTGGAGGAATAGAGGTACACTGGGGCAGGGAGGGAAGCAGGTACATCCTCACAGTGGGGCTGCTGAGGATTCAATAGCATCTAAGGAGGTACTGAGGGGTCCCATGGGGGGACTGATAAGATGGGAGAGGTGACACAGGGTCAAGTGCATCAAGGCCAAGATGGACTCAGGACTGAGGCTGAGGCTCTTGCTTAGTCAGAGTGGCCCTCCCTTGTAATGAGTCCATGAAAGGAGGCCTTGTTTAGTAAGATTTCCGTTGGAAAGATGAACTAGGATCTGTTTTTCCCAGAGTTCAGAGGCTTACAGAGAATGTCCCTGAAACTTAAAGAGCGAGGATGATGGGGTTGGATAAAGCTGCTTCGCCTCCTGGCGATGACAGAAAAGCTGTGTGGCCTCCAGCAAGTTACTGAATCTCTGAATCTATTTGCTCCTCTAAGGGTACTGCCCTCTCTCTCCCAGGGATCCTTGAAGTAGGATGAAAAAGCTAGAACATGTGGAGTGCTCTGCCAAGTCCCTGGCATCCCACAGCTACAGCTCCCCAGGTGGGAGGTTCTTACGGAGAGCTGTCTAGGAATGCAGCCTCCCTTTCGCTTTCCTGTCCCCGTCTCACCAGCTGACCGGGGAACACTGGTCTCCTGTCCTTTCACCGCCCTCTTGGGCTCTCTAGCACCACAGGCACTGACATGACCTTTCATTAACACTGAGAATACTCCCTTTCATTCAGAGAGGACAGAGAGAAGTGGGAGAATCAAGGCCTCCCACTCGCTACCTCCACTCTTCAGCACCAGCTCTAGGACCCTGTGGGCTGAGCTGGTCCTGCCCAGCTGCCGTAGCCAGCACCCTGTGCCAGTCCTGGTAGAAGTTGGGTGTGTGGGGCTCTGGCCTGTGATTGGGCAGCGGGACTGAGGAAAGAGCCCGTGAGAGTGGAGAAAACTGCCTGTTGTCAGCTGGGTTCCCAGTGGTATGGCTGCATCTCCTTGACTGTCTTTTCTCCGCTTTTGGGTGGGGTTGGCAGAGTGTTGGCTCCCAAGCCTCTCCTTGGCATAGGCTTTCTTTCCCTCTCTTTTCTCTCTGGAGGAGTACCTGTGGGAGCCTGCACAGCCGGAGCTGACTCCAGAGAGCTCAGAGCCATTCTCTGTAAGCCTCTGACTCCAGGGGAAATGCCAGTCTGCCTCCTTTCCTCTTGCAGCAGTGATCTGGACCAGAGAGGGGTTTGTCTTTGAAACTGTTCTTTGCAGTTTCCCGTTTGGAATTTTGGGGGCTTAACCTTAAGTGCCCAGGGCCTGGGAGACACTGTCATTGCTGCTGCTGCATCAGTGAGCAGACGCTGCTGCATTCTGCTGCAGAAGCTGTAAGATCAAGGTGGCCAGGAGGGCACCACGGAGTGCTGGCAAGGAGGGGACCAGGCAGCAGCTGGGGGAGGCAGGAGGCACCCAAGATGAAGGGCAGTCATCTGAGAGAGACAGAGGTCCTTGGCTGGCAGGTAACTGGAAGCTTGCCCTTGGTAATCTACCCAGATATGTAGCATAAGGTTGGTATTTTCTTTTTCACTTGCTTTTTGGCTGATGTACTTAGCAGGGGAGCCGTTTGCAGCCTGATGGCAGCTGGCATCTTGGGGTGAATATGCATTGTCTGCAGCGATCCTCCTAGACCGCCCCTCCTCTTAGGCCTGACGCTGCCGTGAAGGAAACTACTGGGTTATTAGCAGCTGCCATTTTCCAGGAGGAGGGCTCGAGGGAGCTCACCTCTAGGGAGAAGGAAATTGCAATCAGGGTTTGGAATGGCAGAGAAGGAATCTTAATGCCATCAGGGAATTATAGATCCCGTTCCTGCCCCGTGGATCTTAGCTGAGTTTGTCTGAGACCCTCGGATGGGCTGACGTTGGAATTCGGTTCTGTGGTCAGACATATTTTGGAGCAGTAGTGCAGGCATGACACAGGTGTGTATAAAATGTTTCCCTGCTTTTTCTGTTCATGTGGCATTAACTGTTTGTTTTTTTTAAAATTCCAATTACTATTACTATCCCTAGCCTTTTGCCACATGCATCAAAGGGCATCTTTGCTCTTTTACGTACACTCCCCTTTGTGGATTTGGCCTTTTGCCCACAGCAGCAGTGCCAGTCTTCCCCACGGTGCACCTGCTCAGGTATCAGGGCCTGTCCTAGTCCTCGGACCTACAGTACATCGAGTGACCTCCCCCAGTCCTTCACAGAGAAGACACTGCTGGTGTGTCAGCTTCTACTGTGCACGTATCCGCCCAGGCACTCTCCCTTCCATCCATCCTTCACTGTCCTCCTAGGCCTGTATTAAGAGATATGAGTTCCTCTAAGCAAGAGGCAGCAAACGATCTGTTAAGGGCCAGGCAGTATCTCAGGCTCTGCAGGACTCACAGTCTCTGCTGCAGTGACAGCTCAGCCAGGGCGGCGCCCCAGCAGCCTGGACCACACATAACGAGTGGTGCGGCCGTGCTCCTGGGATGCTTCCCTCACAAAAACCCAGCCTGCCTCACAGGCTGAAGACCTCTGCTTCGAAAGCCTTCATGGTTTCATTATGGTCTATGAAATGTGAATCTCCTGAGCAGAGTGGTCCTTTAGAGCACACCGCTCGGACTGAGAGCTGGCTCCAGTGCCAGGTCCTGGCACCCCGGGGCTGGAACGAGGGCTGCAGGAGGCTCCTGTGCATGCTGACCCTTCCCACTGCCACTCTGGAGCGCCCACACACTTAACCCGAACGACAGGGATGGGGCGACCCTGCAGAAACACACGTGAGGTCCCCTCAGAAGGCAGCGTGTAACCTGGGCAAAGTTAGCATGCAGGCCAAAGCTGTCAGTCTTCAGGGGAAGGCTCTCCCTCGTCCATGTTCACACAGGAACCTGGTGGCAGAATGAAGTATGACTGTAATCTAGAATTCTTTTTAAACTTTGTATTCTGGAAAATCCAAAATACACTACAAGTATCAACTCATAGCCAATCTTATTTCATTTACATACCCACACACCTCCCTCTATTCCTCCCCACTGGATCTAAACAAATCCCAGACAGTTTCACCAGAAAACGCTTCTGCATCTGTCCCTGAAAGGGATACTGCAGCCTAACGCTTGGGAGCCGCCTTCACGCGGGCTCTCGCCGGGCGGGGCGGGGCGGGGCGGGGGGCGGGTGCACCCCGCTCCCCCGGACTAGGGCCTCCTTCCGGGAACAGGCGCAGCTGTAGTCTCCGCACATGTGTGAGACCCTCCACTCCTACCGTGGTTCCGGGCTTCTGCTCCACTTTGTTTCCAGCAGAAAACTCTTTTTTTTTTAAAGGACAACATTTCTTGATTTAGCTAAAATGTTACAGGATTTTGTTTGTTTGTCTGAAAGCTGCTTTATGTTCCTGGTTATTTTCTTAACCAAAATATACTGTGTTTCTGCTAAACCCACAATCTAAGAATATACTAGTCTGAGGACCGTGCTCCGTCCTGCACTGTGACATCACGAGCTCCCTGTGACACACGCCTGGGAGGCCCACGTGGCCGGAGTCCAAAGCCTCTCTGCCCCGTTGAATTCAGGGGCTCTCAGAGAGGCTTCGATGGCCGCTGGCTTGCACTGAACTGGGTTTGCATTTCCCTGGATAACCCGGCCCCTCTGTGACAGGAAGGTGCCGGGGGAGCAGAGTGACGAGGAACAGCTACCCGGGGCTGGAGGGACACCTCAAAGGGCCGATATTCAGCAGCAGGATCGCAGGCAGCGAATCCTAGCACGACAGATTAGAGCCAACCAGGACCTGGAATTGGAGCAGGCACCTGTCAGCTGGCAGATTAAAGAAGGTAGGTGCCCGCTGCTCACAGTGTCTGCTTCATCTTCCAACCTCTTCATTTTCACGCTTCCCCAGCCTTCTGTATTCTCTGTGTTTTCTTTGTGATACGATAGAATCTTTGGTATTAGGTATTCTCTCCTCTGTTTTAGAGGCCAGAGGCTCTGACAAGGGGCCACAAGCAAGAATCAGGAAGCAGCTTCCCATTGCCCCTGAGTAATGAGCCTCTGCTCACGCTTTCTCATGCGCACATTTGTCCCTGCTTTGCTGCCTACCCTTCGCTGTGCCGAGGCCTGGGGCTTCATTCTCTTGCCCGGTGGTAAGGGGATGCCACCCTGGCCAGCTCTTTCACTCTGTACCGGTCCATCTGTGGCCAGGGGTGTCTGAGCCCAGGCAGCCACCGGCAGGGAGGGGGGTGCCAACCTTCTCTCAGGATGTTTTTGGTTTCTAGACCAGCAGTGGCTGATCAAAGAAGAGACCTGGCTGGCCAGCTTGCAGCAGCAACAGCAAGACCATACAGCAGAGAGAGAACTTGAGGCCTCTGTGCCCACTGATTCTTGGCTTCAGACATATCCTGAGCCTCAACTGTCCCCACTGGTCAGAAGCCAGAGGCGGGCGGTGCCACTCCAGCTCCTGCAGAGGCGAACTCCTCGGGTGGCAGACAGGAACGTAAGGCGAAAAAAGGCCTCATTCCAGCTAGAGAGAAGCATCAAGAAGCGGAGGCTGCTGGAGGCCCAGAAGAGACTGGAGCAGCTCAAGGCATTGTACTGGCTCCAAGATGATGGTTCCCCGGAGCCCCCACACCAGGTCCCCAGCCCTGATGCCTTCCCAGGACGTCAATGTCGAAGCGAGTCGACAAATGGCAGCTTTTTGAGCCTCCGGGAGCTCTGCCTCCGGTGCTTGCCCCAACTGCGCAGGTATGGGCAGCAGCTGTCCCCTGGGCGCTCTGGCTGAGGTTACAACCTCGTTGCCCGGCCTCAGCTTCTTCAGTCTGTAGAATGGAAAGAAGTGTTTGCTCATCTCTTCCTCATCACCCTTTTCCTCTTCTGCTCTTCTTCTTCTTTCTCTGTAGTTGATATCCACTAAGTCTGAGGCTTTTCCCTTCTCCACTCTGAGAGGCAGCTCTTGCTTCTTTGGTGCAATCTATATGAACCTTATTTTTTTCTTTAATATATTTTATTGATTTTTCACAGAGAGGAAGGGAGAGAGATAGTTAGAAATATGGATGAGAGAGAAACATCGACCAGCTGCCTCCTGCACACCCCCCACTGGGAATGTGGCCGCAACCAAGGTACATGCCCTTCAGTCCGCAGGCCGACTCTCTATCCACTGAGCCAAACCAGTTTCGGCATGAACCTTATTTTTTTATCTAAAGACTCTCACTATCCACTTACATCTCCTGTGTATTCCAGCCCCACTTCCATCTCATCTTGCCTCAAACCAGACTCTGTCCCTACATTTCCTCCTCCTCCCTCCCCACCTGACCTGCCACCTCAAGTGAGCTTCCCGACCCCATCTGCCAACTGGTGAGTGACTCCAAGTTCACTTTGGGATCCTCTTGTTTCTTTCCTCCTTCACTCCTTACATTCAGTCAAGGTAAGGATATGTTATCTCCCAAGAATGCTTGGAACAGGGAACTGTGTCTTCCCCTTCATATCCTCTGGGCCCAGCACAGTCCTTGCCCATAGTAGGCACACAATGTCTGTGGTGGTATATTTGCTTACCTCTCTGGTCTTCAGAGTAGTAGGCAGGCTTTAAAAACAACACCACCACCAACTTCTTATTATGAAAAATTTTAAACATACACAAATTTGGAGGAATAATACCTAACACATTCGGCAGTTATCAAGATTTACCAAGCTTGCTTTATCTCCCTCCTTCCTTTTTCTGGTGAAGTATTTTTTTCTTATTATTTATTTATTTATTCATTTTAAATATATTTTATTGATTTTTCACAGAGAGGAAGAGAGAGGGACAGAGAGTTAGAAACATCGATGAGAGAGAATCATTAATCAGCTGCCTCTTGCACACCCCCTACTGGGGATGTGCCCGCAACTCTGGTGAAGTATTTTTTTTTTTTAAATATATTTTATTGCTTTTTTACAGAGAGGAAGAGAGAGATATAGAGAGCCAGAAATGTTGATGAGAGAGAAACATTGACCAGCTGCCTCCTGCACACCCCTATTGGGGATGTGCCCGCAACCCAGGCACATGCCCCCGACCGGAATCGAATCTGGGACCCTTCAGTCCGCAGACCGACGCTCTACCACTGAGCCAAACCGGTTTCGGCTCTGGTGATGTATTTTAAATCAACTCCTAGACATCATGTCATTTCAGTCCTATGTAAGGTATACACTTCTAAAACCTAAGGACTTTTCTTATACCCGCATTGTCAGTATCACACCTAACAAAATTAAGATAAATTATTAGATGTGCTCTACACCTAGGGCATATTCAAATTTCTCTAATTGCCTAAAAATATCTTTTTATAGTCGTTCAAATTAAGATCTAAATAGGTTTTACACACTTCATGTGGTTATGTCTTTTAATCAATTTTTTGTTTTCTTTATATAATTGATTTGTTAAAGAGAGTGGGCCAGTTCTTTAGAATGTGTTATGTTGCAGATTTGTCCGTTTGATTTTTTGTAGTGTTATTTAAATTGTTCTTCTGTTCCTCCTATTGTCAACTAATTAGAAGTTTTCTTTAAAGGCATGATTTGACTCACTTCAACCTTTCTATGAGATAAAATATTGAGGGACAGAGTACACCTGAGGCCACTTTGAGAGCCAGGACTATAGTCCACAGTTTCCTTTTGTTCCTACAAAGCTTTCCTCTGACATCAAAGGACACGACCTTGGCCTAGTCTCTAACCTCTCGTGGTACAGCAAGTGGGACTTTGCAGTCCCTCTGCCAGCAGGAAATAGGGACTGCTTGCTTTTCTGAGGTGGCTTTCCTTGTCTCCACAGTGTTTTCCTGAATCGGGATCCCTCTAGCACATTACCTCCTATACCAGACTCCACTGATCAGACCTCAGAGAACACCCGGTCAGAAGAGTCTTTGTCCCAGGCTGCGTATCCTCCAAGGACAGGGCGTTCCAGCGACAATGTCCTCCGCTCCTTGGGGGAGGGGCAGCTGTGCACAGCCAGGGCGGCCTTGGCCAGGAGGGGAGGCTGGGCCCCAGGCACCTGCTTCAGCATGAGCTCTACATCTTCCAGCATCCAGGAGAGGGAGAGAGGGCGTCAGCAGCCCCACTGGGTGGTGTCCCAGAGCTCAGCCTCTCAGAGACAACCAGCCAACATGCTGAAGCCAAGGGATGAGCCAGAGGCCCTCACGCCTTCCACCCAGGCCAGGATGACTAAGAGACTGTCGGACTCAGGCCACGGACCAGCAGGGTGGCAAAGAGAAGGGGACCTGGAGACCCACCAGGCTGCTAACGGAGCCAGCTGCAGTTGCTCACATCCCCATGGACTCAAACAGGCAGCTGGGCATGGAAAGGCAGCTGAAACTTTTTGGACAGAATCCCAACCACCTTCTCCAAATAGGACATCAAAAAGGCAGCAGAGGATGCTGGCAACTAGGGTCAGAGGCATTACCAAGAAGTCCTCTCGTTTGCTCCGTGGCAGCCCTTCGAAGAGGCAGCACAGTGCAGGGAGCACAGACACCATGGCCTCACTCACAGATGCCGGCCCAGGGGAGGACCCCACAAGAGAAAAAGAAGGCGATTTATCGGACGCAGATAGCAGTTACTCGGTGGATTCTCTCTCCTGTGTCTGTGCCAAAGCCCCAAAGGAGCCAGTGAAGCCAGGGACCCTCCCAGGGAGGGAATGGCACCCCCCAGAGTCGGAGAACACGGAAAGTGACAACAGCCAAATATCCGAGGACTCGCTGACCGAGAAGAGGAACCAAAGCCCTCAGGACAGCCCGGGGGACAGTTATCTTAACAGCGACCCCAGGGCCAGCGCTGGAGCGTCTGTGAGGAGCTTCCCCACATGCTCAGACAGGGGCCTGTTCGCCCAGGCTCTCAGGAGCTTGTCGCTGGATAGCCTGATTGACGCTGAGGAAGAACTTGGGGAAGATCAGCAAGAAGAGCCTTTCTTCAGTTCAGCCGATGAGATGCCAACAGAGACGTTTTGGCGCCTGCAGACCTCCAGTCTGCCCGTTGTGAGCCAGGAGGCAGTGTGCAGGCTTGGTCCTGCCACCCAAAGAACAGGAGCCAGGCTGGATGCCCTCCTGCCAATGAGCAGTTCATTTTACCTTGATTCCCAGCCCCTGCCCCGCTGTGCACAGCCTGAGTCAGAGGTGGGGGCAAGCACCTCTGAGCAAGCCACCACTCTGCAAAGCATGCCGCTTTCAAGAGGGAGCCCTCTGTTGTCCATGGATTCCTGGTTTTCCTGTGACTCCAAGATCAATCCGAACAGCCCCCTGGGAATAGGGGATTCTTTATGTCCAAGTCCTGATGTCCAGGAATTTCAGCCCAGTGGTCGGGAGAGGCCTGGACTCCGGCCAAAGATGGAAGAACTAAAGCCATCGGGGAGAGAGGCAGTCCTGCCCTACACTCCCAGGCTGCCCACAGGTGGTGCAGAGCTGCCCTGCAGTGTCAGAGCCGTGTACACAATTCCTGCTTCTGATACATCCAGGCTGTCCCTCTGGGGGTCATACAGGCTTTTTCCGTCCGGAGTGGATGGCACCTTTCAGGCCAGAGGTGTCTCTGACCCGGCCCAGCAGGGCAACGCTGAAACATCCAACAACTCGAGTGTACCAAGCGTGCTGCCTGCCTCTGCCACCTCATTTACTTACGTAGGCAGCGCCTGTGAGAGGGACTGGGCGGCCCTTCAGCAAAAGTACCTCCTTGAACTATCTCATCCTGTGTTGGAGGCCATCGGAGAGCCCAGGCCAGCTTTCACCTCTCTCGAGGAAGACTCTGGTTCCCTGACCCAAGCTTCTAGCAGAGGAGGAGGTACTGTGTTGGTAGTTGGTTCTGGGCTATCTAGCAGTTTGAAGTTCAACAACTTTCCTATCCATATATCCAAAATTAGGCATTTGAGGGCAGAGAAAGAACAGGACAGTTTGAGTGTCGAGTTAGAAGGCACTTCAGATTTCTTTACAACCAGTGAGAAAGAGGTGAGTTACAGTGGAAATTATTCAGCGGACATAGAATCCTTGACTTCTGGAGCTACAAACGCACAGGTCTTTGCAGCAGAGAACAAGGTGGCAAATTCCATGACAGGAGCATGTGACATCAAACAGAGCAACTTGGAAGAGTCCTCTCCGAGCAGCAGCGGGGGGAAGCCGGGATTGATGACTTCCTCTGAAGAATGTTTCTTCCTGAAGAACCCTTGTCACAGTAACGTCACTGTAGCCACCAAAGAAGATCCTCAGCCCCAAAGCTGTGCTCCTCTCAGGAAGGACAGTGTAGGCCTGGCAGGGCAATTAATCCACAACAGCCACCTCCCCCCGCAGGAAGAGGAGACAGACTGCCAGGAGAGTGCCACGGAAGTGGTTGGAAGACACGCCAATCTCCCCTCTGCCTTTCCTTCAGGTCCGGAGCTGTTCCTGCACTCTGCTCCTTGGAATTCATGCCCGTCTGCCCTGCAGCCACCTCCCTTAGAGACATTCTACGTGACCAAAAGCCGGGACGCCCTGACGGAAACGGCCCTGGAGATCCCGGCCTGCAGAGAAGCCAGAGTGCCCTCCCCGCCCCCCAGGGAGGCCTGGGGCTTTGGCCAGGACTACCAGGCCCTCCAGGATGCTTATTTAAAGAGTAACTCGCCCGCGTTCTTACACAAACAGGATTCCAAGATTGCCGCCTTTCAGCAGGTCACAGCCGAGAGGCCAGTTGCTCTGAACACAGCGGAGGTTAGTGGAGAAATAGGGAAACGCGCTGGAAGCCATAACTCAGTATATGTTTTTGTTGCTCAGAACAGACATTTTCTTCCGTCTGCCAGCACAAAAGAATGTGAGTATGAAAATCAACTTGGAAGTTTAAATAAACACAGTCTTCCAGCACTCGAGGGAGAAAAGACCACGATGCAGTCCAGTTGCACCGTGTCCTCCGGCAGCTCTGGGTTCGGGAAGCCCCTTTTTGTTTGTGAGTCTCAGGCAAGTGGGGAAGAAGGGCAGGAGCAGAACGCAGTCCTAAGACAGAGCCGGGCCTCTGATATCTGTAGACAGTCCCCTTTGGTGGCCAGGTCTGATTTCACCTATAAAACCATCAGTTTAGGTTTTGACAAGGACAAGTCTAGATCGGCATATCTTAGAGTAAGGAGCCCAGAGGTGATAGCCCAGGATGGGAGTCCAGCCCACAGGGCGGAATGGAAGGATGAAACTGGGCTTCCTGGAAAGTCTCTCCATCCCAGAGACCGCTCAGAAGAGTCTAAGCGGCCATGGACAGAATCTGCACAAGAAAGGTTCCAGTCAGTTCTGTGCTCTCAGGAAAGAAACCTCACTGAATGCAAGGGCCCTGGAAAGTTGCAAGAAGTGTTAAATCACAAAGAAACACCTTCGGGAAAGAAACCGAGTAAAAGAGTTAATAATGCTGACGAAATGGCGAGGCTAATTAAGAGTGTCATGCAGCTAGAAGATAGCATCTTGGAAATCGAATCCAAGCAGAATAAGCAGCTCTATGCTCCCCATACAGTGGGCGTCAGTCATGAGTTTGTGCTCCAGGACAAGGAGATGGCTGACCGTATCCTGAAGCCAGGCAGCTCTAGACGCCACTTGACCTTCAGGGACCAGCTGTCTTCTCCAGAATACACAGATGATACTGATTTTAGGGATGGTGATGCTGGAGAAATGGAGACTAGCAGTACCCCTGGGGAAGATCCCCGAGATCAGAACGTCATCCCGAGTCCCTTTAAGTCAAGAGACTGGGTACAAGATATTAAATTTGTGAGAGAGCACAATTCCACAGCTGTACTAGACAGACCTGCCAGGGACACCTGTGACTATTTAGGAGTATGTATAACTCACAGTGAGTGCGCCCGCACTTTTGTTACTCCAAGGAGAAGGAAAGCTTTGGCCAGAGCTGTGCCGTTCCGGCCCAGGCCCGAGTGGCCCTCCGAGGAGGACAGTGAGGTGGTGCATGCATCAGCAAGCCCCAGAAGGCAGCCCCGTGGCTCGGAAAGTTTTGAGGAATCAGAGACTATGGAAGATTTTCAGGAAGGCCACGTTCCCAAACACATAAGTAGTTTTTACCCAGAGGAGCCAAAAATCCAAGGCAGAGTTAAGGAAATGACTATGCAAAGAGGAGAGAGCCTACACGAGCAATACAGAATGGTCCCATCGACTCGGAAGCTTCTTAGTCCAAGCCAACGTTGTATGGGCACGTTTTTCAGCCAGGAGACAGGCCCCTCGCCGAGTCAGCCAGACTCCTCTAAGGCTCCCCATCGAGACCTGAGTAACACCTTGCCCTTGAGTTCTCCAAGACTGCCAAGAAGCCATCTTCATGCACCTGATGATATAGGCCTCTCTTCAGTTGACTATGTGCTGGATCCTACAGTGTTGAAAATGCCCACCAGTCTCTGGGTAACTGAAGCAGGGTGTCAGGGCCAGAGTGGAGAGCCCAGAAGCCACAGCCCTCAGGGAGATGTGCGAGAGGCGTCCTCCAGGACACACGCTGCTTGCTGTGGGTCTGCAGTCTTCATGGCCTTAGGATCTTGGGGTCAATCTGGTGCACCAGAGACCATTCCCCTGGGGGCTGAGATCAGCAGGAGATCAGCCAGCACCAGCCCCCAAGCCCTGGGAGGGGACCCCAGAAGCACCTCAGTGGGCTTGAATACCAGAGTGGGTTCTCCTTCTGAAGCCAAGGTGGCTGTACAGAAAGCAGAAAGAGCCAGCACGCTTAAAAAGAGGGCCAACTGTCCCTTAGCAGAGAGTAACAACCAGGGCCGAGAGGTGAGGCAGAAGGCAGAGAAGGAGGCCGAGGACCTTGGTCCTACCGGCGCTAGTTTCTCAGCAACTGTGTCCCTGGAGCCACACCCTGAGCCCCCTGCACACACGTCCACGGGCTTCGCTGTGCTGGAGGAGATCAGAGAGACAAGGGCCCACGGAGAACAGTTTCATGACTTGGTGACTGAGGGCACAGTCCTTCCTTACTACGAGACTGTGTTAGAGCCTGAATGTTCTTCAGGGGCCCCTGATAGGCCTCGGTGTCAGCACACGGGCCAGCCAGTGTCAGACAGGACTGGGAATGAGGGTGGAGCACAGGGGTTTCGTGTGGCGTCTCCCTCTGCTGGACCAGGACATCTGCGGCCTGATAAGAGGAACGCGCTTAGGACCACACCCCTCTCTGCAGACAGCTTTCAGCCTCTGCCCAACATTGACGTTAAAGGGCCATGCCAGTCCTCACAGGTTTTCTCCCCTGCTGACCGTGCTCTAGGCAAAAGCCATTATTCTGGAAAACTGAGACTTTTCCTGAGAGCGGATGAGCAGTTTATATGTTATTCGGGCCCATTTGAAATCATGGAGGAAAAGCAAGAAGCAATTAGGATTTCTGCTGGTCCGGTAGGCCCGGACAGTCTTCCTTCTTCAGCTCTAGAGGAAGCCAGGAGGGTAACAGCAGGGAAAGTAGACGCTGCCTTATCTTCTCAGGAACCTTCCAAAAATCCTGGAGTGAGTGAGCATGGGCAGAGCCAGTCCGTTCCCTGGGAGATGGCAGAGGGCATGCCCCCTGGCAGTCAGGAGAGCAGCCAGGCACGCCCAGAACCCAGAACTGTACCCACCACCTGTGGGGGAGAGTCAGCTAACTTCACCGTGGCTGCACAGGGAGAAAAAACTACCTGTTTTGAAAGTCACCTTGCGATCTGTAACGTTCAGGACTCTGCCAGTCTCTCAGGGCCTCCCCAAGACCATGCCCAAGACCCCAAGGCTTCCAGTGGCTTAGAAGAAGGGAGGGCACGGCCCAAAAGGAGTAGTGTCCTGCCTGGAGCCCCGAGAAGAGCTGAGCCAGAAGTGCCCTCTCAGCAGTGTGTGAGGACGGGGGGTGTTGGCTCTGGGCTGGCAGAAGCCCGCAGCGCTGGCAGCAAACACCGTGAGCCGGCTCCACTGCCGGATCGAAGACCTAGCCCAGACCCCGGCGGAGTGAGAGAGGAGGCCATGCGCAGATGTCACCAGGAAACTTCAGATTGTGCTGTCCTCTCAGCAGGGAGCACTGAAGGCAGAGAGACTCTCAGCCCATCTGGGGGGCAGGAAGGCAGCAGAACTCTTACTTGTCAACAACCATGCAGCCCTCAAGCCACTGCTTCTTATGCCTGCTCCTCCCCTTTCTCCACTTCACTGCTACACAGAGATGGTGACCTGGGGAAGGCTGCCCCACAAACTCTCCACCCAACCTGCAAAGTATGTTGCAGGGCCCACGGAATGGATGAGAGAGGAGAGAGCTATTCCCGTGAGCCCGAGGTGTTCCTGACACCAGGCCCTGAGCCCAAAGGCCTCGGTGTGAAATTTGGGCCACCAGGCAGCAGCACTCCGGAGCCCTCTGCCGCCACTTCTGCCTTCTCTCGGGGTCAAGGCTGCAGCTCCCCTTCTGCCCCTGACATGCAGGCGGATTCCCTCGGCCCCTCAGTGGCTGCAGAGGACCCCGAGGAAAAGGTTGCCGAGAAGGCAGCCCGTGCAGAGCTTGAGGCTGCCCCTTTTCCTAAAGGCGCGTGCTCCGAGCCACTGACGGAGTTTCGGGACAGCTCAGTAGGTGGCCAGAACGCACAGGAGTCTCATACCAAGCCAGAGCTACCTGCACCAACCAGGAGACAACATGCCCTGAATGTAAGCGAAGGGTCTGTTGAGAGTGAGCTGCTGGTGGATCCACAGCACGGGTGTTCAGAAAATGTTGTCAGATGCCTTCCAGAAACGCCACAATTTCCCACCGAGTCCAGGGATCACAGGAGCTTGGATCCCCAAGCCAGATTTGTAGCCAAGTTAAAGCACATCCCCGGTGCCCAGGCTGGCAGTCTCTGGGAGGAGGACAAGCAGCAGAGAGAGCAGGCTTCGGGTGGCGGCAAAGCCCCTGCCCGGCGCATGAATCCCCCACAGGCCCAGGACGGTGACTTCGATGGCTTCCAGGTGAGCGCTGCAGGCGGAGAGGAGGGGACTGCAGCCCAGGCTTCTGCGCCCAAGGCGCTCTCACCGGCCTTTACAGACTCAGCCAGTGACCCCGTGGTGCCTGTGGCCCAGAGCCGTGGCCGGCCCTCTTCTGGAAGGCAGCAGCCGGCTCCCCCCCACAGGCGCGCACTCCCTGTCATTGCCGTTTTCTCTGGCCCCAGAGACTCCGGGTCCCCCCCCAGGCCGCAGTTCTCCGTGATCAGCTCTACCCGGTCTCTTCAGCAGCTGAATTTGAGTGTGGAACCTCCTTCCCCCACAGATGAAGAGACACAGGGGCCTAACAAATTGTGGAACCCCCATCCTTGGGGCTGCTCCTTAGAAAAGTCAGCAGTGGGAACATCTCTGGAAGCTGCGAGCTGCGATCAGGAAGCCTCATCTGACTGGAACAGTAGCTCTGCTGCTCACAGGCCCCTTCAGCCTGCCAGCCCTCCTTACCCAACGCCCTCAGCCGCCTGGTGCATGCCGACCCCCAGTTTGACGGCCTGCTGGATGCCGGGTACAGTGGAACCGGCCCGGCAGGGAAAGCCACAGAGCCCGGGCGGCCAGGCCAGGCCAGGGAGGCTTTCTGAGGCAGACAGAGGAGCGTCGCGCTTTGGCTCCCGTGACATCAGTCCCCGCGTCCTGCCCGGCCCGCCAGCGAGTCCTGCACCCATTGGCTGGAAGCAGCTGGGCAATACGGCCGATGTCTCCTGTGGCCACTCAGCCCAGGGCCTGGAACCATCAAAAACGGCCCGGAGCTCCAGGGTGGACAGCCGCCCAGAGGACCAGAACGCCCCATTCCACTCCCACCTCGGCACCTGTGCCAATCCCCGAGGTTCGCGTGAGGCCTGGGAAGTGTGGGACTGTTCGCTCGCCTTGGGGAACCACCGCATCCTGACGGGCCCTGGAGGAGCAGCGCCCGCTAAGCGTCCCGGTGAGAGAGCCCAGTTCCAGGCCCCCCCTGGTGAAGCAGGCCCTCTGAGGAGTGCGTCCCCCTGGACTGAAGGCCCAGTGAATGAGGTGACGCTGCTGTGCCCATCAGAGGCGGGCGGCCCTGGGGGACAGTCCAGGATGAGCCCCTTGGAGCAGGGCGCACAGACCTTGGGCCGCAGGCTCCACTGGAGCCATACGGACATCCCCTCTGCCCATCTGGAAGCCAGCGCAGCGCCGGTCTCTGATCTGGCCTCCTGGGCCAGCATGCACAACCTGTCTCTCCACCTCTCGCAGCTCCTACACAGCACCTCAGAGCTGCTGGGGAGTCTCTCGCAGCCAGGTGTTGCTGAAAAGCAGCAAAACTCCAAGAGGGAGACCCCAGGTGAGGCATCCCAGACCCTCACGATGGACGGCTGTACTCAGACCACCGAGAATAAGAGCATCCAGACTGAGCTGGCCTCCCCACCTCTGCACCTCCGGGCCCCAGAGGCCAGCCCTCAGGAGGTCAGCACGGTCCTTGAAGCGCTGGGCTCGGATGTCTCCACCATGTCTCAGGAAAAGGGACACGGCCCAGGGACAGTTCAGGAGAGAGAGGCGGAGGGACCGGCATGGAACCCAGCACGGCCCCCGGCTCTTCGGGAAGAAAGCACTTATTGCAGGCCCCTGAGCCCTGCAGCACCCTCCTCCCGCCTGAGGTTTCAGGAGGCCCCGCTTGGGCAGAGCCTCCCCTCTGGGAGCCCCCGGGCTTCTCCCGACGCTGCCCTGCCGCCCGGCGCCCAGCCCAGCGAGCCCTCCTGCCTGGCTGTCAGCAGCCCCAGCCTCAGCCTTCCCCGCTCCCCAGGACCCTGCCCCGGTGCGGCGGAGTATGGCGGGGAGCCTCGGGCCCCGAAGGAGTTGTACCCCACAAGTGCCTTGCTGGTGGACAGGGCCTCTTCCCCGATCCTCGCACTCAGTGCCAGCACTCAAGGGTCAGAGCTCCCCTTAGGCTCCCTGTCTCTCTCCATCCACTCAGCTCACCCTCTTGAAGGCCACCAGGAGCTTGTCTCCAGCCCAGACCTTCCCCCGAACTCCCCCCAACCTCCAATGGACAGTTATTCCCCAGCCACTGGGGAGGCAGGCAGCTCCCCGAGAGAACGGGGCCTGTGTGAAGGCAGAAGCTCCTCAGAGAGGAACGAGGGCGGGCCCATGCTCGAGGGGAGCTCCCCCATCAGCCCGCCGCACAGCTCAAAACCCCACGTTCGTTTCCTGGAGCAGCCCCCACAGCAGCTCCAGCCCCAGGCCCCCGCCTGGGTCCAGAGCAGACTGCCGCCCCTGCCGCTGCGGACCAGAAGTCCGGGGCCGGCAGAGGACGTTGTCCCCGAGAACACGGCTCCCCTGGAGTGTGGCGCCCTCTGCGGCAGAGGGCCAAATACATGGCAGAGCGGGACCGAAAATGGGGGTGAGAGCTCAGCCTCTGCAGGGGAGCCACAACCCGCAGTCAACGATGCCTCTTCGGGGGGAGTCGGGCAGCACCTCGGCCCCTGCCCTGTGTCTGAGACGACTGACGAAACGAAGCTCCAGGGCTCTCCCTCTGGCCCAGCTGAGGCCTGCCTACCTCAGGGGCTGCTGCGCCCCAGTTCGCAGATGTGCATGTCTCCGGAGCCCCAGCATCACAGCCTGAGGGACCTTCCAGTGCATAACAAATTCCGTCATTGGTGTGGGGTTCAGGATGGCTCTCGTGGGGAGCCGGGAGTGACCGGGTTGCTGGGACCCAGGCATGTTGGCAGCGCTGGAGAGCAGGAACAGCCTCCCTCCCAGCCTCTGGGCGCCCAGAGCCAGGACCCGTGGTCCCAGAGGGAGCAGATCCCCCTGTTCGGGGCCCAGAACCCCACACTCAGCACGGAGCTCACAGAAGCAAAACTGCACCGCGGCTTCGGGAAGTCGGATGCCCTGCTCGAGGTGCTGCAGAGCGGGACGGGGGAGGCACTCACCGCCCGGGAGCCGGTGCTGTCCACCTGGGAGGAGCTGCATGCCTGGTAAGGGTCCCGGCCTCGAGGGGGAGGGCGGAGAGAGGCCTGAGAGGAAAGAACCAAAGGCTCCGAGCTGCCTGTTCTCTCTCCTCTTGCTCAGTTCTGGGATCTTCCAGGGGTCAGAGAGATTATAAAACGGAGAAGGGCATTCATGGCTGGTTTCAGTGAATCAATAATGTTTTATCTCAGGCAAAAACAAACCATCGAGTCCCTCCGGAGACAGCGGGCTGAGCGACTTCAGAACTTCCGCCGGACTCGAAGCCTCAGCCCCCAGAAACAGCTGAGCTCCCTGCCTAACGGGGGCCTCTCCGCCGGTGACCTTGACTTACCCAGCAGGCGCCGGGAATACCTGCAGCAGCTGCGGAAGGATGTTGTGGAGACAACCAGGTACAGGCGGACCCAGAACCCTGCAGGGAGTGGGTTCTGTGTGGGGTGGGAGTCTTAGTGTCCTGGAGGCTGGAGGCTGCAGCTTCCTCTCACAGCAGCAATTCCAGCAGAGGGTCTGCTGAACCTCTGGCATGCGGAGGTGGCTGCGGGAGCAGGGACAAAGGGGACAAAGGGAACAAAGGGGCGGAGGAGGGGTGGGCAAAGGGAAGTCCTGGGAGAGGAGGAACAGAGTAGCTGTGGCAGAAGGAGACTGCAGGTCAGAGCCTCCGAATAAGATACAAAATCAAACTGAAGACCCTGTGGGCAAAGAGAGGCTGGGTCACTCCAGAGTGGGGTTGCACAGAAAGTAAAGGGATGGAAAAGGTATTTAATGAAATAAGTAGCAACACTTATACCAACAAAATAGACTTTAAAACAAAGGCTGTAACAAAAGTCAAAGAGGGACCCAGCTGTTCTACTAGGCATTTATTAGAATAAACTCAAAACACTAAATAAAAAACAAACAAAATGTACCCTCTGTTCATTTGTAGCATTATCTACAATAACTTAAGTGTCCATCAGTAGATAAATGGATAAAGAAAAATGGTGCATACATGCAATAGACTATGACTTAGCCATAAACAAGGACGAAAGCTTGCCATCTGCAACAACATGGATGGTCCTAGAGAGTACTGTGCTGAGTGAAATAAGTCAGACAAACACCATATGATTTCCCTTATATGTGGAATCTACTGTAAAAAACAAATGAACAAACAGAATAGAAACAAACTCGTAGAAACAGAGAACATTTTAACAGTTTCCAAAGGAGAAGGGGATTGGGAAATGAGTGAAAAAGGTAATGGGATTAAGAAGTACAAAAAACTGTTAGCTGGTATGGCTCAGCGGATAGGGCATCGGCCTGTGGACTAGGGGGTCCTGGATTTGATTCTATTCAAGGGCACATGCCCAGGTTGTGTGCTTGATTCCCTGTGGGGGCATGCAGGAGGCAGCTGATCAATGGTTCTCTCTCATTATTGATGTTTCTGTTTCTCTCTCCCTTCTCTGAAACAATAATAAAAAATATATTTTATTGATTTTTTACAGAGAGGAAGAGAGAGGGATAGAGAGTTAGAAACATCGATGAGAGAGAGACTTCGATCAGCTGCCTCTTGCACACCCCCTACTGGGGATGTGCCCGCAACCAAGGTACATGCCTTTGACCGGAATCGAACCCGGGACCTTTCAGTCCACAGGCCGATGCTCTATCCACTGAGCCGAACTGGTTTCGGCAATAAAAATATATTTTTTAAAAAAAGAAGTATAAAATAGCCTGGCCAGTGTGGCTCAGTGATTGAGCATTGATCCCTGAACCAGGGAGTCACAGTTGATTACCAGTCAGGGCACACACCTGGGTTGTGGGTTCAATCCCTAGGAGGGGGGGTGAAGGAGGCAACCCATTGATAATTCTTTCTCATCATTGATGTGTCTATCGCTCCCTCCCTTCCTCTTTGAAATAAATAAAAACATATATTTTTTAAAAAGTACAAAATAGTCATGGATGTAAAGTACAGCAAAGAGAATATAGTCAATAATATTGTAATGACTATATATGGTGTCAGGTGGGTACTAGACTAAGAGGGGAACCACTTAGTAAGGTATATAAATGTCTTATCGCTAGGTTGTATACCTGAAACTAGTACGTACGTCAAGTATAATTGAAAAATTATTTAAAGTTTAAAAAAAGGCGTTGAAGAGGCCTGGGGTGAGCAGGCCATGGCCATCGCCCACCCATCGTGTTAGAAGGCACCTCTCTGCCCGTCTGGTCCTTCCCAGGAACCCGGGGTCAGCGCCAAGGTCTGCTCGGCCACCCTCTGACATAGAGCTGATGCTCAGAGAATACCAGCGAGCTCGTGAGGAGGCCAAGATGGAGATCGCCCGGGCCCGGGACCGGCTGCGGGAGCAAGCCGAACAGGAGAAGCTGAGAATCCGCCAGCAGATCATCTCCCAGCTGCTGAGGGTGGGAAACGGGTTTCAGGGCAGGCCTGGAGCCTGGAGGCAGACTCAGACTGCTCGGTCCTCACTGGCTGCCTCGGGCAGGGGATGTAGCATCTGACCCCTGGTGCCAGGTCCAAAGCTGTGTTCACTGTCTTTACGTGCCATTCTCATCAGACCAGCTCCTGGCGCTGGGCCAGAGTCTGGGAGGAGGCTGCCTTGGTATCGAGTAGGGGTGGGGGGTGGGGAGTGTGAGGGTGTGTGGCTGAGGTGGGAGGCACTGGGGTGATGGGACTGGGAGGTGAGAGGAGGATTTGGGGCTGTGGGGCCTGGGTAGTGAGGGTGCACCAGAAGCTGGTTGACAGTGATCTGTCCTTCCCAGGAAGAGGAAAAACTACGTACCCTGGCTGCCTCCAGCTCCCTGTGCACCAGCTCCAGTGGAAGCCTGTCCTCTGGGGTCACCTCTGGCTACAACAGCAGCCCAGCCTTGGCAGGCCAGCTCCCATCCCCAGGCAGTGTGGTGAGTGGGCAGGTGCTAGGTGTAAGCTCGGGACCGGCCGCTAATGCTCGCGTTTGGGCAGGAAGTTCTGCCTCCAGTCACTGCTGACACTGGATGGCGGTGGCTTTGGGCTTCCCTCTAGTTCCGTCTTTCTCTTCGTTCATTCAACAGCTGCTTGTTTTGTAGATGTTTTAAGCATTGAGGGTGCAGCAGTGAGCAAAACTATTCTTGTCCTTAGATTATTAAAAGGATAAATATTAAAGAGCTTATTTTATAACTAGAGGCCCAGTGCACAGATTCATGCACCAGTGGGGTCCCTCGGTCTGGCCTGTGGGGATCAGGCTGAAACCAGCAGTCCAACACCCCCCTGGAGTGCAAGAGGGCACTCTGAAAAGTTGCTGTGGCTTGGCAGCTCCATTGAGCATCTGCCCTCTTGTGGTCAGTGTGCATTATAGCTGCCGGCTGGTTGCCCAGGCATAGATCAGTGGTCAGCAAACTCATTAGTCAACAGAGCCAAATATCAACAGTATGATGATTGAAATTTCTTTTGAGAGCCAAATTTTTAAAACTTATACTTCTTCTAACACCACTTCTTCAAAATAGACTCGCCCAGGCCTTGGTATTTTGTGGAAGAGCCACATTCAAGGGGCAAAGAGCCGCATAGAGGAAGGAATGCTAAGCCAGTGTGAAAGGTGGGGCCTGACCTAGTCTGGATGCTCAGTGAAGATGCTCTGAGCTGATGGTGAGAGATTCTGCAGTGAGAGCTCCGCGCTGGGGGTGTCCAGAGGGCCCACAGGGAGGCCCTGAGGGAGGAGGAGCTTGAGGAGCTAAAACACTTGTTTGGTTGGAATGTAAAGAGAGAGAATTACATGAAAAAAAGGACCAGAAAATGCAAGATCGGATGGACTAAATTGAGAATTCTGGGCCTTTCTAGTTCCCCAAAGCTGCTGGAAAGCCTTTCAGTAGGGAGAGAAGGATGAGATTGTGAGAAGGGGTAAGATCAGCTCTGTAGACCCATTAGTGACCACGGCAAAGCTTCATGATCGCTTGGCTTAGGGCGCTCCTGGTGAAGGGGAACGGGTGTGGATTCAAACTGGATGTGGAGGAAGGGAGACGGGAGGGTTGAAAACCATGCATGCTTTGGGTTTGAGGACAGTGTCAGGAAGCCCTGGAGGCTGACAGGTTTTGTGGGAAGATCATGAATCTAGTTTTGTATTTACTGGGTTGAAGCACCTCTGAGAAATTCAGGGGCTTGTTGGAATACTGATCTATCTGGGACCCAGAGATGAGACCTGGCTGGGGATAGAAAATTTGAATTAATTTTATAAAGAAAAACTCCACATAGTAAAAAAACAACAACAAAAAAACAACAACACATGGTTTTCAAACAGTAGCCAAGGACACAGTGTCTAGTGCATATTTCAGTCTCCTATTTGCCCTCCCCAGAAGCAGTCATTCGTCCTGTTTGGTGTATATTTCCAGAGATAGCCTGTGCGTCTATAAGAATATATCTTTTTGTAAAGCATGTGAGTGGAAGCATACGGTACTCACTTTGTCCCTTTGTTTTTTTTCCTTTAAAAATATTGGTTGGATCTTGAATATCAATAAATCTAGTGCTGACTCATTCTTTTTAATAGTCGAATAGTGTTTCTCTTTTCTCTTTAACTGTATGTTATTAAATGTGGTGTTTTATATAGATAATATGAGTTGAAAAGGCAAAAAATATATACATAATTAAGGATCTATAGGGAAATACCCATCCCTTTCCCTGTCTGCCTAGTCCATGTTCCTCATCCTCCCAAGAAAACAGTGGGACTGGTTTCTGTTGCTGTTGACCTCTTGGGTCATCTGGCCTCCTGTACTCTCCATAGGGGAAGATCTTTTCCCTCAGTTTTTTGTGTTTGTTTTTTTTAATAAACACCAAGTATTATTTATTTTTAAAAAAATATATATATTTTTTATTGATTTCAGAGAGGAAGGAAGAGAAAGAAATAGATAGAAATATCCATGATAAGAGAGAATCATGAATCAGCTGCCTCCTGCAAGTCCCCTACTGGGGATCGAGCCCACAACCCAGGCATGTGCCCTTGACTGGAATCGAACCTGGGACCTTTCAGTTCGCAGGCCGATGCTCTATCCACCGAGCCAAACCAGCCAGGGCTTCCCTGTATTTATGTTGGAAGTGTTGGTGTGTTTCAGAGGCAGTGGCTTTTTGGCATCTGCTTTCTCGCTTCCTCTGTTCTGGTCTTGAGCAGCTTCGCTTCTGCAGGGGGATACCAACTTGCCTGATTCTGGAGACTCCTGGATTGGGGACGTGCAGGGCCGTTCTGCAGTGAGGAACAGTCACCTGAATCTGGCTGGATCTGCCTGGAAGAACTGGGCCCACAGTGAGTGGTGGGGCAGTCACCTGCCTGGTTTGGGCACTTTGGGGGTTGCGGTTGCCGGATCCAGGGAGTGCCTGCCCCTCGGAAGCTGCGGATGTCAGAGCCCCCCTCTTCCCTGTAGGCCGCAGAGCCTCCCTGGGCAGCTGCTGCTGCTCCTCGTCCAGCGTGTCCAGCCTGGGGAGCGGCTTCTCCTCCTCCTACCAGGACTTGGCCAAGCACATTGTGGACATCTGTCTGGCTGACGTGAGGAACTGCTCCTTGGACAGCATAGCTGGGGAAGAGCCGGGAGGGAAAGAGCAGGGCTGATGTGGCTTTTCTGGTGGCTCTCTACCGTGACAAAAGGGGACTGGTGACCAACCCCAGAGTCTGGTTTATACCAATCCCACTAATTGGGTGTGGTCACTGTGTCCTTAGGTGATGGCTGCTTGCTCAGCTGATCTGCACAATCTCTTCAATGGCCAGGTAGCAGCCGGCTGGACGTGAGTTCCTTTGTCTTGTCCTCATCCCGCTGTGCTGCTCGCCTCCCTCCTTCCCCTTCTCCACCCTGCGCTGCCCTGTGACCCCGGCACCCGTTTCACTCCCCCCCCCCCCCCTCATGCCCCAGCTCCCAGGGTGAGGAGCAGCAGGTGCAGCTCTACAACAAGGTGTTCACCTCTACCCGGCACGGCTTCCTGGGGGCCGGGGTGGTGTCCCAGCCGCTGTCTCATGTGTGGGCAGCGGTGAGTGACCCCACCCTGTGGCCCCTGTACCACAAGCCCATCCAGACAGCGAGGCTGCATCAGCGAGTGACCAAAAACATCCACCTCGGTAAGCTCTGCCCGGGGACAGGTAGCAGGCCGGTGGAATTCAGACCGCCTCCAGCTGGGTGTCGGGTTGTGTGAGGATGGGGGACTTGGGGGGCCCCTGGCCTGGGGAGGATTTAGGACTAGGTCTGTCTGTGCACCTGAACCTGCCGACTCTTCCCATCCCCGACCTGCCAGTGTACGTGGTGTGCGACCCGGCCCTGTGTGCACTGAAACAGCCGCGGGACTTCTGCTGTGTCTGCGTGGAAGCCAAAGAGGTGCCTGCCTGGCTGGCGGTAAAGATATTGGGGGAAGAGCGTGGGCTGGAGTGTTGTGAGAAGCAATCTTTGTGGGCCTCAGGTCCTCTGGGGAGGAGAATGGGTGATAGAAGTCTGGAGCCTATTTGGTGATCACATCGGCAGGACTCACACCGCTCTCTCTGTCCCAGGGGCATCTCTTTGTCATGGCGGCTCAGTCTGTATATGACACATCCATGCCGAGACCCAGCAAAGAGATGGTCCGAGGGGAGATCCTGCCCAGTGCCTGGATCCTGCAGCCCCTCACCGTGGAAGGCAAGGAGGTCACCAGAGTCATCTACTTGGCCCAGGTGATGCGCCCCCTGCAGCTCGCCTGGATTTACCCTCACAGCCCCTTGGGGATGTTGTTTAGCCGGCTTAGCTGCTCCATGTCCTCAGCGCCTTGGCCCTGTGGCCTGACACTCAGGGGCTTCTCGGGTCACAGTAAGGGGAGGGAGTCGCTGGGGAATCAGAGGACAGAGTGGATCAGCCCTCTCTGACGCTGCTGTTGCCAGAGAGCCTACAGCCTTTCTCCTCTGGCTGTTCCCGGGTCCCCGGGGGCACAGGCAGCCGCCTCAGCAGAGCAGAGCCAGGACCCCTTCATTCTATTCGGCTCTACTCCCAGCCCCCTGGCCTGACCTTTGTCACCGGGAGGTGAAGCCAATGCCTAGATCTGAGCAGCAGAGCCCAGGACCGCAGACTCTCTGAGGAGTCTCACCCATCGCCACAGGTGGAGGGGGCACACTCTCAGATCTGGCTGTACCTCTGACTCTTCCCTGTTTTGTTTCAGATAGAACTTGGCGCTCCAGGTTTCCCCCCTCATCTCTTAAGCTCCTGCATCAAACAGCAGCCACTGGTTATAGCCAGACTGGCTTCCTTCCTTGGTAGCTAGCATCTCACTGTCTATGGTGCTGCTGAGACTCAGGCCCAGGACGCTCCGGAGCCACGGGGGCGGCGCTTGTTCCTCTCTGCACCCGAGGCAAGGAGAGCCGAGGCCACCTGGGAAGACGGCACTCAGCCCGGAGCTGCCGGGAAGCCCAGTCAGCACTGGTTGCAGCTGGCAGCTCTGCAGAGTGAGAGGCCTGAGCTCCTGACCCTGGCTGTCCAGAACAAGCGAAGCTCAAGTCGGAGTTTTCACCTTTCTTTCCTGTCTGAGACGCTATGCAGACAAGCCGCTCAGGGACCGGGATTGGACACGGGCAGCAGAGCTGGGAGACGGTGTGCTCTTGATGGTGCTGTTCTGGTGTGGCCCGGCCCTCGGGCTGGTAGGGAGGCAGCTACCGGCTAAGACTCTGCTCGGAAATCGGCCTCCAGCGTTCAGTTCCACTGTGAGACGGACTGTTACCAAAACAGAAAACGTAAAAAAACAGCTGCACAAACCAGAACAGTGATTCAGAATCATTTCTCCTTGAATTTTTATCAAATGCTTTATTTTTACTCTCTCCCCTTCCCCCTTTTCCTCACAGGAGAGGACATTGGGGTCTTTGCCTCAGTCAGAAGTGCTGAGCAATGCGATCTCATGGAACCTGCACTCCAGAGCTCAGTAGAATGAGACCATTCACTGTAGAAACCACCTGGACAGATTTGGGGTCAAGGTGGGGGCCTATCTCTTTAAGAGAGTTAGGAAGTGAGCAGCCAGGTGCTAGCTGCTGACAATGCAAAAGAAATTTCAGAGATGAAAACTGTCTTTTGAAGATGGAAGAGAACACACAGGAACTCCTAGAGGAGGTGAGTGACTTGTTAGAAGGAAGCTCAGTTCCATTTAAGGCCTCAGAGCCTGGGTCTGTCAGCAGTGGTCTTATTAGCAATTCATGCTGTTGCTGCAGCCACACCTATTCTAGGATGAATGAGAACAGGCTTTCTCTTGCCTTAGCCTGGCAGACTGAGGTTTTAATTATTCTGTGTGGTTACCTCGAAGTGGTAGGAGTGGGAGATTCCCAGCTTTAGTTCTGGTGCCCAGCAGGTGACCATCTAGGGATCAAGATGTGGTAAAATTTCTGTCGAGTACAGCAGAGGTTTATTTTTCTAAAAGTGTTTGCAGGATTTTTGTCTTTTACCTCAAATTATTTATGTATTATTGAATGTTTTTTTCTTTAAACTTTTATTTTTCTGGGTTTTGTTTTGATGACACTCGATATATTTTACACCCTATTTATGTACTCCCATCTCTTTTCATATAAATCTCTTACCAATCTGTTGACTGAATGCAAATTAAAAGTCTGATTGTACTTTTATATGTGAAGATTGTCCTGAGATAGCCTAAGTTTGTTCCTTGAGATGATGGCAGTAAGTACTCATGGCCCAGTTTCAAGTTATACTCCTATAAAATGAAAGCATAATATGCAAATTGACCTAACAGCGGAATGACCAGTCACTATGATGTGCACTGACCACTAGGGGGCAGGCGCTCAATGCAGAAGCTGCCTCCTGGTGGTCAGTGCGCTCCCATAAGGAGCCTCTCTTGCCTCTGCTGCAGGCAGGCAGTAAGGAGCCCTCGAGGGGTCCTGGACTGAGAGTGCAGGCCGGGCTGAGGGGCTCCCCCTGCTTGACTCGCCCCCCCCCCCACGAATTTCATGCGCCAGGCCTCTAGTACAGCTATCATTGCTGTCTACGAACTCGGCACTGCTTTAACCATGTAAATAGCAGCCAGGTTAGTAGCCCAATTATGGCCAGCTGGAGCCCAAGTACCAATAAGGGAGGATTCCAGAACAGTCATTACACCTGACAGTGGCTGTAATCCTCTGGAAGGTATTTCTTTACTGGTAACAGGTGGGCCTCTGGGGCTTCTGAGACAGACAGCAATGGGGATCTGAGCATATGGGTAGCCTAGAGGTGACCTTATCCCCTCACTAGAGAAATCACTTACCAGGCCTGAGTCAGCCACCTAAAAGAATATTAACTGAGGCTCATATGGCAAACCCAAGTATTAAAGATCATCCACAGGCCTACACGATTATGAGAAAGTCAGAATTTGGTTTAGACAGATGATTTACAGACTTCATTGTGCATCAGAATCACCAAAAGGACTTGCTGGGCCCCACCTGAGATTCTGATTCAGTTGTCTGGAGACTACCCTTTGAAATTCATTGTTTTTAATAATTGAGAACAGATACAGGGTGTTCCAAAAAAAAAAAAGTACATACTTTGAATTATAAAATTTTAATGTTTGTTAAAATACATTTCATCTTCAAAATTGAGCCATTATAGCTGTTAAAGTGTGTACTTTTTCTGAGGACACTCTGTACATAGAAAAAAAACAAGTTCACTAGCTCATTAGCTGCCTCTGTGATTTTTTTTTTTTTTTTAAATGTTTCATTGCTGCTTTTCACTACAACTCAAGCAAACAGAATATTGGTTTTAGGTTTCTTTATTCTTTGCCTCTGTGATTCTTGTTATCTTACTGCGTAGAGTAGGCCTTTAAGAGTCGCACAGGCCAGCACTGAGTTTCCGGAGCTGGGCTGTGCTAAGTTTAACGGAGCATCATGCTCAGGCCTCAGGCTGTCCCCGTGTGGTGTGCCCACCCCCCTCACTCAGAGCTGGGTGTCTGAAGTAGCTGCTGCTTAAACTTAGGGCTCAACTCCCGGAGGCAGTGCTTCTGTTCAGCCGCCCCTAATGGGTGCAGACAGTTGGTCTCTGGCATTGAGAACATCCTGAACTTCTCTAGTATAAATGAGATTTAAAGGACAAAGATAAAAAAATTTAAAAAAGGCCTATGAGGATGAGATTAAGGTAAATGGCTCAGATGTAGAAACTTGTTGGAGTGACTGCAATCACCTGAGGGGAAGGGAACGCGCAGGCACACCTGACTGGGCAGAAGTGTGACTGCAGGGGGCGTTAGGAGACAGACCCTGCCCTCCCCCCCCCCCGGACTTAGTCTGAGTAAAGGCTCCTCATCAGCTTTAGTCACACAGCAGACCCCTCGGGCCCAGAGACTCACCCTTGGGTCCGAGATCTCAAGGCTTTCCCCAAGAATACACGAGTGTGCACAGACGGTATTTCAAACAGGGTTCCCGAGTGCCTTTTCCTTCCCCAACAACCTGAACCTCTGTACACACCACCCAAGTAGAAAACCCACAGCTTTTATAGCTCTTAATTCACATTATCAAGGCAGTGCATGATTGGTCAAAAGTCAATGGGTCGTTTAGAGACATGGAGAATGCTTCTGTTGTGAGCCAAGTCACTGCTCCCCTCACCCCGGCTCCCAGCCCTGACAGAACAAGCATGACAAGCGCCGCCCCACCACTAGTTAGTGGGGAGTACTGGTGGGTAGAAGCTTATCCTACAGCTTTCAAGGGAGGGAGTGACATAAAAGCCAACACCCTTGGCAATGAGTCAACAGGGCCCTCCTCACGCTGCACACTAGGCAGTGCCAGGTGACACCAGTACCCGGCTCCACGCCCACCCGGGCCTTCCACAGGGAAGAGTCAGGTGAAAAGAGCAGGACAGGAAGCCCTCTGTAAAGAAGAGTTTATTTTAAAAAGCTCTAGTTCTGCCCCACCCTCGGCTCCTGGAGTTAGGGTCAGAGTTACCTGCCCAGGACTGGAGGCCGGGGGCGCAGGGGGTAGGGCTGGGTTTCTGGTGGGAGGGCTCCACCCCATCCATTGTGCATTTTTAAGGAGAGGCAGTCCAGCTCCTGGTGAAAATGTAGACTCCCAAGATTCATGTTTTAACTTTACTCACAAGTTAAACAATGTCATTTGCCTCTGTCATGATTTCTCAAATCACAGACTTAGGAGAGATGCTGGGATAGCAGCAAGTGGGGCTCAAGCCCACACACATAATTTCAGTTAGCATCCAAGTAATAACTGCTGACTCTTCTGCTCCAGGGCTGGAGTCTCTATGCTTTTCCACCGGAATCCTGAATCAGGCAAACCCTCCTCCTCCTTCTCAGACTCAGGGTGGCAAGCAGCCAGGCAGCCACATACTTACTCCACACGTAAGCAGGAAGCCTAATTTCAGACTCGGCCACTCCCGCACCAGCAGGGGTCGGTCAGCACTGGGCACTTTGGGTGGCGCTGGGCCTGCCCCTGAGGCACAGTCTGGTGGGTGCCAAGGTTCTGGTGAGACTTCAAGGCAGGGCCACTTCTCAGTCCTAGCTCTGGGCCAGCACAGTCCCCCGGTTTGGCTGCACCAGCTCACAAGCTCGTAGCTGGGGTTCTGGCACCTGGGGCTCAGCCAGAAACAGATTGAACAGTGTTGCTAATTCTTCAGCAAAGTCCTGCAATAAGCAAAAGATGACAGAAAAGGCAGACACGTAATTCTGGATAGTTCATTTCTACTAAAATTCACAAATATGAAGCTCTAACGTATTTCCTAACTGCCTTCTACACTGAAATGGCCTTGAAACCTTGCCCCATTAAGTATTCTGGGAGAGTAAACTCTGACGGGAGGCTCAGAGCAGCTAGTGGGCCCTTATCACCATCTGAGTACTCACTATGCACATCACCATCTGAGTACTCACTATGCACATTATTTCATCTTGACAGATGCTAGGAGGTATGAATTATTTCCATTTTATGCTTAAACTGAGATGAATTCTTTGCCCTAAATCACATTAAGTACTAGATGAGATTAAAATTCAGGTTATTAAAAATCCACACTCACTATGCCATACTCCTTTCCAACTACACCTGCCTTCCATCTTCCCTTCCTCCACTGACAGGCCCTTCCTTCATACAGTAGCTGCTCAAATGTGAAGGCCCACCAGAACAGCCACTCCGTGTAGGGTGGTCCTGAAGACACGTGACAAAACCCACTGAGCTTTGGGAAGATGCTAAGAATGCCAGGCACCATCACTTGCCCCCTTTCAGGATAAAAGGGACATCTGATACCCATTCTCTTCTAGGTCAGGGAAGATGAGAGCACCTTACCTCTGGCCACTGGGCCTCACGGAGGCTGTCCAGGCAGGCCTCTATCTCTTTCCGTCCCATCAGACCTTTCTCTACCAGCTCCCGGAGTAAGAACAGCAGCAGGTCCCACTGCAACACACATGCAGCAGGCCACGTCAGGGTGCTAGGAGGACTACACAGTGACCCTGACTGATTCAAAGGACAGCTGCTGAGGAGGGAGCAGACCTGAGGTTAAGCTCTAGGGGAGTCCATTTTGGCACGGAACAGAAATGAGCAAGCTGCCAGAAAAGGAGAACAAAAGAAGCAAGCTCATAACATTCGGGGTGAGAGTGGTGGGTATGACCAGGGTGGTGGACATGACCCCGGAGGGCTGAGAAGTCTGTCCCCATCCACCCACCTCTGACTCACCTCCCTGGGCCGAGTGTCTGCCAGAAGCCCCACATTTCTTGGACTCAGCAGGAGCTGCAGCGGGACAGGCACCTGAAAGTCATCCTTCCACAGGGAAAGCAGTGTGTGTAGGAGCCTTCGAGCCTGCCCTCTCTCCAGCTGGTGTTGTGCCGGGGGCCCTAGTACAGGAATTTGGTCTGCAACTACGGGGAGAAAGCCAAGCTTTAAGAAATGGAACAGGGTTACCTGGCCTGCCCCTGGGAGGAGGAAGAGCAGAAGGAAGTGTCAAGTTCTAATCTTGCTTGCACCCAACCCTGAGATCGGGGGATCTGGCAAGAGTGAGATGACAGAAGACATACCGAGGAGGGATGCTAACTCCACAGAGCACTTCGCCAGATGCTGCTCGGCAGGTGGGCACAGGAACTGGGGGGAAAGCACGGAGAGCCTGGATGTTAGCACCATCCTTAGAGTCGCAGACCTGAGCCCATGTGGCTCTGGTTATTGGGCACATGCAAGGACACACGAGAAGAGCATGCTGCCGTATCTTAACCTGGCGGCACCGCAGCGTCTGACCCAGCTGGCCTAGGAGCTGCTCCAGATGCTCTGGGGACACTCCTTCCTCAGGGTCTCGGGGCCCCACAGCCACAGAGAGCACATCCTAGAGAGAGCAGGGGCAGGAAAAGAGTGAGGCCAAAGAGATTCTGGCTTGGGGTGGGGCTCAACCAGTGGGGAGAGGCAGAGGAAAGGAAGGCAGGGCCCCTGCGTGAAGTGATTGGGCCAAAGTGCCCTCAGATGGAGGCCGGAGCAGGACAGCACAGCTGGGAGAAGCAACCAAGGGGACAACAGAGGGACGGATGGAGCAGGAAGCTGGGAACATGCTGCCAGAGGTGAAGAGACAAAGCTGATCCCCAGAGAGCATCTCATTCTGGAAGAATTTAGGGGAACCAGCCTACAGC